ACTGGACACTGGAATCAAACAAGTCCTAATATATAATTTTCCAAAGAATGTGAAATTTCTTTAAAGAAAATATTATCCTCATGAAATAATTAAGGTTTGTGCACTCATAAGAATAATTTTTGGGCTGTATCCGACATTAAATATTAATGTGTAGGATATATTACATGCAGATATTAATAACACTTCACTGGGTATTCATGGTTACCATGGTTTCTTGACATTTAAATTTTTGAATTTAGTTTAAAATAACCTGCACAACCCAAAACATTAATAACACGGATTAAAACTTTTCCCTTCCATTTATTATGCAATATATATGAGGACACTTCTATTTCTCAATATGCACTTTATCAAATTCAGTAAATGACTGTGTTCACAATTTCATTAGCTGTAGTCATGAACTTGTAGAAGGCTCTTAAAATCAGTCTTTACTTCATTTCCCATTATTTTTTCATTAAGGATATCTTCTTAGAGACTTCTTCCTCCTTAAACATTTATGTCATGGAAGCCTAAGTTGTCAGGAACACTGATTGATTTATCAGTGTTGAGTATACTGCATTGTTTCACAAAAATTTCAAATCCCAGCTTCACATCACTGTCACTCTTATCCTGTATCTTAGAGCAGAATGTGCTGACGCTGATAAATTACTTATTAGCTACAAAAAAACACTACTTCATTACATACCTAATAAAATAATAAACAAATGCTTCCTCAGGTTGCTAGGACACTTCCAAAGCTCTGAAATACTTCAAGCTTGTCTCCTTTAACCCATTCCTTGGATTATTTAGTGGTGTGGGTATTTATTGCACGGTGTCCAGCACCCCTCCACACTTACCTAGAGCAGAGCCAGGGGCTGAGCTCTAGCAATAGTCACCACTAAAAAAAGCTCAGGGTTCTGTTAGTGGAAATTTTGATTTCACTTCTCAGCAAAAAACCCGATTTTTGAAGCCAAATCAATCAACTGGCCACTGGATGTGGCTACCTGGGATCAGCATTCTTTGTTCCCTCTTTGTGTCTGAGAGAGATCACACATATTTCAGGTCTATGTCTGTTTATCTGCTGTGTCTCTCAAGGGGTTTTTGTACAGGATACCACAGGATTGATGGGTACACTGTTATTCCTTTGCCTTACTGTATTTACATAGGGCCTCTAGGTTGCAATTAAACTCAGTGCTTCCCTGAGTTCTGAGCACCAGATGCTGTACAGCTGCAGAGTGACTGAGTAACCCTGTATCAAGACCTCCTAAAGTGAACAGGTAAGAGAAAATGGGAAGAAAAAAGTGCTTCCTTATCTCATACTGGGTGGGACTTGAAAAAAAGAGATGTAGATTAGATAAACTCACTCTCCCTGGGCACTGTTTAATGCATGGCACTGCATCAGTGGCAAGTAGTTGGTACAGCTGGACTGAGCTCTCTGTCGTACTCATCAGCCCTCTCTTTGTTTTGTTTAAGTCTTTTCTGGCAATGTTTCACTAAATTATAGAATAATTCAGGTTGGAAGAGACCAGGTAGTTCCAACCCCCCTGCCATGAACACTTTGCCTTGGACACTTCCAGGGATGGGGCAGCCACAGCTTCTCTGGGCAACCTGTGCCAGGGCCTCACCACCCTCACAGGGAAGGATTCCTTCCCAATATCCAACCTAAACCTGGCATCTGCCAGTGTGAAGCCATTCCCCCTTGTCCTGTCACTACACGCCCTTGGAAAGAGATATTTTCAGAAAAAAAGAAAAACAGAACAGCAGACCACTTGAGAGGGATTTCTTTTGGTGACACTTGTTCAAAACAAAATGAGCCTGCAGGCACATCATCAGATCTCTCTTCATAGTTTGCTGCACCACCTCTGAGAGTTTAAATTTACATGACCAGTGGAACTGGATTATGCTCACTTGGAGGAGAGTTTCTGGATAATTTTAAACTTTTGAGTTGAAAACATTTGGGAAGGGAAACAAGTATTTGAGTCTTTGATTAAAGCCATCTGGTTTTGCATCAAGCTGATAGAGTTCTAGGTGCTAAATATTCCACACTCTGAAATTCATATATTGATTTTATTTTTATGTTAATTTTAGCAGAACTCCGAAGTCTCAGAAATAGAAGCTCTTTCATCAAATCCACTTATTTAATTTTTTTTCTGAAAATACAACATGGAATTTAAAGATCCCTATTAGGATTTTAAAGTTAGACTGGGATTAAATGAATCTTTACTTTAGATACACCTCCCTTTGCAAATATAACCATGGCCCATAGCAGGTATGAATTGGTTATACACCCTGATTTCAAACTGGGGTTTGTATAATGGAATGCAACACTGCACAGGCCCAGAATGTGATGGTTCACCAGTGGATCCCTGGAGCTCCTGGAGCCATGGAAATTAAAGAGGTCCCAGAAGGTTTCACAGGATTATTCCTGCAATAATCACTATGTAAAAAAGAAACCTAAAAGAGGGAGACATCTCTCTATTTTGGTTCCACTTCTTGTTCAAACTCACAGAAAAATTATTTACAGTCATGAGCCAAAAGCTAGATTATTAACATGTTTTTTACATGATCACCCACAACTTTATTCTCCATGTGTACTTTCTCAGGACCACTGGAGCTCAAGCTGTCTGGAATGAAGTCTCTCCCACTGGGTTTCATATCTTGGACATCTGCTAGTCCCAGAGGTTTTCATGAGTTTAATGACATTACTGACTACATAATTAAACAGCTGTAAGCTTAATATTTATTTTTCATGCAACAGGCAAAAAATTTATCACTGTATTTACAGATGAGTGAGAGGACTAAGTGCTTTGATGTATTTTTGCATTCTTCCTCATGTCCTCTCCATCCCTCTGATGAATCTTCAGTCTGTATCTGTCTGGTTTACACCCCTTATTTTCACCCTACTGTCTGAGCCTGAAAACCAATCTTAAATTCTTAATTTTTCAGCAAATTTGGTGACACAGCCCTCATTTCGTCTTCCCCCCCCCCCCCCCTTTTTTTTCTGGTATCTGTCTTTATCTTCAGCTACCTGAAGTATCTATTTCTTTTAAGCATTTCATGTATCTCTTGTTTTTCTGATGTCAAGAAAATGGACAGAAAACTGTTGAGAAGATCCTCTGGTTCTATTGTGCAATGAAACTTTCAAAGGACCATTCTCAAAAAAACCCCCAATCCAACAAAGCAAGATCTCAAAATCCTCCAAAAATATGAGCAGCAGCAGCAGGTTGGCCAAGGACACTGAATAAAAACACACAATTAGCAAAAAATAACTAAAATCAATGAAGATGGTGCCTGCTTGGGCTTTCACAAAGTTGAACTCTGGAGGTGTAGATCATGTTCTGAAAAGATAACAAAGGAAAGGGAACAAAAAAGTCCTTTACTTCTCCAAACAGTGAATTTTCAATGTTAAGAGTAAAGAGAGATCTTTTGGGATGAGACGGTTTTGAGAAATTAGTTCCAATGTTAAAGTGACCCAAAAAATGGTACTGAGCAATGTATTGTGTCTCAAGAGCAGCTTTCTTTAGAAGAGAGCTGGAAAAGGTGTCAGCTGCAGGTTGTTTCTTGAGTTCCCACTCGCACAAATTCAACTGTGATTAGAATGAGAAGAGGAAAAAAGAGGATCAGTATTACCAAATCTTCTGTGACAAGGTGACACTGCAGCATGGTAAACATGTGTGGCTGGCATTACATTCTTGCCATCTTTGGCCATCTAGTGGCATCTTTTTCTCTACAAAATATAACAAGCAAATAATTATTATTATTTTGAAGAGAAACAAACCCCCCAACTGCACACGCATTTTAAATAACACGCCCGGAGCTGCATGATCCTGGTCGTCTTATTAATGTTGTGGTACAGAAAACTATTTTGGAAGCCTTACAGAATCAATTAGGTTGGAAAAGGCCTCTGAGATCACCGAGTCCAACCTCAATGCTCTACAGCCTGGTGTGCCCAGTGCAAATGCTCAGTGTTCTTGCTCAGGGATGTGTTACCCCAGGTGGCTTTTCCTGGCACTAGTGACAGCTTGGGGACAGCTGGAGGACAGGTTGCTTAGGTAGGGCTTGGTGCCTTGTGGTGCTGCAACACAATGAGTACAGATGAGGACAACCTTCACTGTCCAAGCACCTGGAGATGGGACAGGGAACCCTGTTCCTGCTGAGGTGTCTCAGGTGCACAGCTGTCCCTGGAGCTGCTCGGCGAAGGCTCACAGGGGCTCTGGCATCCCCACGGTGCCTTTCCCTTCCCATCCGTGTGATGTACAACCAACACAGCACCCTGTCCCTGGCCCTGGTGGCTGTTCTGGGGTGTCCCTGCTGTGTCCAGTTTGGGGCTGTTCAGTACAAGAAAGAAAAGGAGCTGCTGGAGAGGGTCCAGCAGAGGCCACAAAGATGATGAGAGGTCTAGAGCATCTCTGTTATGAGGAGAGACTGCTACAGAGCTTAGTTTAGAGAAAAGAAGACTGAGAAGGGATCTCATTGATGCACTTAAATATCTCAAAGGCAGGTGCCAAGAGGATGGTGCCAGACTCTTTTTGGTGGTGACCTGTGACAGGACGAGGAGCAACGACCACAAACTACAACACAAGAAGTTCCACCTCAACACGAGGAAGAACTTTAAGGTGAGGGTGGCAGAGCGCTGGAACAGCTGCCCAGGGAGGTCGTGGAGTCTCCCTCTCTGGAGACATTCCAACAGCCCGTATTCCTGTGTCACCTGCTCCAGGCCACCCTGCCTTGGCAGGGGAGTCGGACTGGGCGATCTGCGGAGGTGCCTTCCAACCCTAATTATGCTGTGATTCTTTAACCGGGGTGGGCGGGCTGGAACCACACACCCCAGGCACCTCATACACCTCACACAAACACCCCGGCCGGGGCAGGGGGCGGCGGCGGCCCCGGAACGGCCGTTCCCGAGCCGCGGGGCCCCGGCGGAGGCCGGAGTGGCGGAGGAGCCGAGGCGGCGCTTCCTGCGGGGCGGTGCCGGGCAGGGGCCGCTCGGCAGCGGCAGCCGGGGCTGGGGCCGCCCCACCGGGCTCCGCTCCCCGCCGGGCTCGGCGCTGCCGGGGCTCGCCATGCAGCGCTTCACCGTCAACATCAAGCTGCCGGCGCGGACCCTGACGGGCGCCCTCAGCGCGCCCAACCGGGGGGCTGCGGACTGGTGAGGAGCCGCGGGCGGGCGGGAGGGGGGTCCCGGTTCTTCGCCTCAGCTGCGGGTCCCCGGCACCGGGCTGTCCGCAGCCCCGCGGCCCCCGCTGGCGGCTGGAGCGCGGGGATAGCGGTGGATCCCCGGGAGAGGCCGCAGACAGGAGCCCGGGGAGCTGCTGGTGTCCAGCGCTGTGCAAGAACAGAGCCATGGGCGAGCACGGCCCAGGCCCTCCCGGGTTCGGATTGGAGGAGGTTTAGGTTAGATATTAGGAAGAAATTCTTCTCTTTGAGGCTGGGGAGGCCGGGGCAAAGGTTGCCCAGGGAAGCTGTGGATGCCCCATCTCTGGAAGGGTCCAAGGCCGGGGTTTGGAGTAACCTGGGCTAGTGGAAGGTGTCCCTGCCCATGGCCCATGGTGCCTTCTAACCCAAACCGCTCTGTGATCCCCTTCTCTGGGCGGAGATCTTGCTGGTGCGGTGAACTGTAGAGATCAGAGCAGCTTCTTCTGGTTTCTGTTCCTGTTGCCTTCGAGACTTGGTGTACAAAGCCAGTACCTGTACTCTTGTAAGCATTGCTGTGAGCAGTGAGTTCACTCAGCTGGGCTGTAATTCATTGCCCCAACACTGCTGGACGCCAGGCAGCCAAAATGAATGAGCTGGACCAGGGCATGGTTTAAAACTGTAGCGTTTAGGTTCGTCAGCTTACAAAGCAGTGAACATCAAAGTACTCAGAAGTGCTTAGATTGAAACTTTTTCTGCTTTGACTGTTGCCAGTTCACCAGAGCTCGTAGGTGTCATTGGTTACCTGAAGGGAACCTGCAGGAGAGCTGGAGAGGGACTTTGTACAAAAACAGGTAGTGACAGGACAAGGGGGAGTGCCTTTAAACAGAAAGGAAGTAGGATTGGGTTAGATATTAGAAGAAATTCTTCCCTGTGTGGGTGGGGAGGGCCTGGCACAGGTTACCCAGAGAAGCTGTGGCTGCCCCATCCCTGGAAGTGTCCAAGGCCAGGTTGGATGGGGCTTGGAGCAACCTGGGCTAGTGGAAGGTGTCCATGGCAGGGAGTGGAATGAGATGGTCTTCAGGGTCCCTTCCAGCTCAAACCATTCTCTGATTCTGTGATAAACTTCTGAAGTCACACAGGCCTCAGCAGATTTTTGCTGTTACTGTAATAAATGTTTTACATGCTACTTTTTAGTCTCAGAATAAATGAATGAATAAAAGAAATGCAGTTAATTATATAGTGGCAAATATATTTCTCACCTGTGTTCTTACATGTAAAATTTGGGAATGCTCTTCATGAATTCCTGTGCAAAGAGGATTTTTGCAGATGGGCACAAAGAGATGCTTTGTGGTGGCTGAGGGTTCTGTCAGCAAGTGGTTCAGCAGACATGCAGTGGCATTTTATAGTGCTTTTATGTTATTAAATGGTATTTACCAGCTGCTAAACATCAAATATTGTGTCCAGTAGCATACATTCAACTCAGCAAAAAAAAAGTCTCGTACTTGATGTGCTGAGCTTTTGTTGTTTTTCACTTGTTGATGATGATATGTGCTTTTCCAGGGGCTGGCAAGGTTTGATTGCATATGGATGTCATTCCCTTGTGCTGATAGTGGATGCCAATACTGCTCAGACTTTACAAGTTCTGGAAAGACACAAAGCTAGTGTTGTCAAGGTGAGATGTGCATGTTTTAAGGTATATTACTTGATCCTGTTGAATATGTTATTTTTCTAAATCACTGTAAATACTTGACATGATACTGCACTCGATTTTCAGATAAAATGTGTTGTAAAATACCCATATTTTACAAGAACTCTGTTACAGCTGAGTCAAACCATACATGCTGAAATTTGAGCTGAGGTTTATAGAATATATATTCTCTTTATAGAATATATAGAGGTTTTTGAATATCAAGAAAAATTTATTAGTGTTACAGAACACAGAAATGTTTTTAGGAAAGCTTTTAACATGAGAGAATTTCAAATGGACGTTACAAAATATCAAATGAAGCTCTTTGTTGATGCCCTTTCTGATCTTCCCTGTGGTGGGAAGTGCACCATTTGTCTAGAAAATTACTTTTAAGCTTTTTTTTCTGTTCCTACCTAGAGAACAGGAACAATAGCAGACAAAACTGAACATTTATTTTAGTGATATAAACTGGCTAAAATTTAAGTTCAAGTATGGGGCACCTGTACTTTCCTTTCAAGGTCCTTGACTTGAAATTGCAGAGTTTGAGTCAAGTGTGGAACAGGATGTATTTCTTTGATACATCATTTCTTTGATTGTGGGCAATGGCAGATTCAGCTGGGGTTTAGAGGGATGTTTGGCTGGCACATGTAATGTTTAACAGTCCTTGGCACAAGTGCTGTTTTAGAAGGCAGTCAGTAATGTATGAAGAATAATAGGTTCTTAGATAGGGGGATTTTGGTGGGGGTTTTTTGGTAGTAAAAGGTTGAATGTTCCTTCTGCAAACACACTATTTTCTTTAATATCTATTTCCATATAGATACACTAGTACTGTATCAGACATGGCCACTCTGGTATTTTAAAATTAAACACAATTATTTTGTCTTTAGGTTTGATAATTTACTGACTTCTGAGGTATCATGTTATGATGATTTCTTTTTGCACATTAAAGTAATTTAGTGTACAGGAAAAGATTTGCCAATTTTTTGGTGAATGGCTTTGAAATTTCAGGATATTCAGTAGTTGATGTTGTTTATGTATCTTTATATGGTATAATGTATATTTTTGTGCTACAGAGTCCAGTCAAGTGAGCTTTTGAATAATAATAAATGGACTGTTCAAATCCTGAGTGAAAATTTTGTGTAGGGCAAAACTGATACAGGTCCATACAAAGTCTTGGCCAAGAGTCATACAGATAATGACATTGTAGCATTTAAAAATGATTGTAAAGTTCAGGAATTATTTTTGTTTGATTAGAAAGAATTTTTAACTGACTGGCAAAAAAAGGAAGTTATAAGGGTTAGGTTTCAAAACAGATCCTTTATGTCATTTTTTGAGACTTAGATAATAAATTGTAGCACAGATAGTTTTTTTTTTTTATCCATGCATCTTAATGTGTTTTGGTTACATTCACTGGCACTGAGGAGTAACATCATTTCAGTAGGAAACCAAATGCTGAAGTCCATTAATTTTTAAGATAATTTTTCAAAACCACTTCCTGAAGCTCTAGGAACAGAAACATGCTGTAAGAAAATGACTAATTCATGAGGTGGAAGAGTGAAAAGAAATTCCCTTCTACTTTAAGAAGTAGGCATTATATAGGAAATTATTATGAGGTCATGATCACTGCAGATACCTTTACACCTGTAAGAAATTTTCTTTGATTCCTAATTTTTTTTAAGAGTTTATAGGTGCTAAGAGTGTAAATAAGCTGGAGGGGATCTTGCAGAAGTCTGCAGTGTATGTCTGACAAACTCTTTGTAGCAGAGGCTCACACCAGCAAACTCAGTGTTCCAGGGATCTTCTCCTCAAGAACCTGTGCTTCAGTACTGAAAAATGTCAAAACACACACCACATCTGTAATTTAAAAAGCAAAGAATAAAACAATTGGTTCATAATCCTTCTGCAGTGCATTTTACTGGTTTACTTTAAATACTTCCTGGCCTTTGGTTGTCATAACTGTGCCTGGAATAGGTAATGGATTCACTGAGAACTGATCTGTGTTAGTTGTCCATCTGTACAAAAGGTGTTTGCAGGAGACTGATGGCCTTGTACAGAGTGGATTATATCTGATTTTACCTTTAGGAAGAGTACTTGAAAGCGTGCTTCTACAGAGGAAAATCTAATTACAAGAGAAAGGGTTTGATCTGTCACTGGAATGAGAGGATTGACATTCCATTTGTATCCTTTTTGATGTATTAATAAACAGAGATAATAAGGCATTATAAATGAGATGAGGTAGACTGTGAACATTAAAAAAAGTCACCTCTGGTTGCTGTTTCTGACTGATGCTGCTGTATTTTGAAGTCAGGGTAGACAGGCAGTGACCAATATCATAAGAAAATAATTTGTTTTAGCAGAGGGTCAGGTCCTGTGTTGGACCTTGTTGGAGCAGAGAGAAAAGAGATTTATGTCGTGAGAGCACAAGTAAAGATCTCCTTTTTGTTGTTCATAACTTGGTGACAACTCCTCCCCTTGAGAAATGATGTCTTCTAGACTTGGAATTTGCTTTGAAGTAATAAGTCTTTAACTGAGGAATAAATGGCTTTGTAGATTTTTACAGTTACAGTAATTGCAGATATCCTCATGGGTGATTCTTTTTTGAACAGCAGGGAAGCAGGAATTGCAAAAATGAAATTTGTAGGTAGAGAAGAGTCTCTCTGGAATTCTTTGTGTTTCAGGTAGAAACATGCTTTGAGTTTATAACTAGAAAAGGTCTGTGTTTGGCCTCCCCCCTTCTCTGTCAGGTGGTGTGACAGCACACACGTAGTGGAATTTTTGTAGCAGGTAAATTCCCTTTAGCTTTGCATTAAATTTTCTTTATTCTTTCAGTGTCCTCAGTCTCTCCTAGGGACAGAAGTTCACCTTAAAACCAGGTAGCAAAACAACTCCATATTAAAAAGATAAGGGAGAAATCAGTGTTATCTGTGCCCTTTTAATCTGGGAAGACTTGAAGACAAAATATTTCAGATTTCAAGACACAGAGTTTTCACAGGTGTTGCCAACTTGCAAGCCCATGAAGCTTGAAATCCCAAACCAGAAAGTGGTGTGTGGAAATCAGTGGGCTGAAAAGGACTGAAAAGTTAGCAAGTGTCAATAATACCTTCTTTTTTTGATTATTTAGCTATGAGACAACACAGAGATGAAAGACTTAACCTTCTTTCCTCCCCAGTACCATATTACACCTATATTTGTCAGATTACAAAAATGACATGTTTTAGGGCATATATAAAAATTGGATTATAATTTTTCCACTTCCATTTGTTTGGAAATCAGTAGGCACAGGTTTGTGGGTGCCCAGAGAACCATAAATATTGCCACTTAGTTTCCTGTAAATATTTGAGTAAACTGTTTATATACATAAGGTGTATGTTTGGGTTGCTGTAGTTACCTTCAGGAGCAGGGATTGTTGATTTATGTGGTTGGAGAATATCAGCCATGCAGTCATGCAGCTAAGTTGGGACCTACCTTAAATTTATTTGCACAAGTGATGGAAGCTTAAAGGTATTTTACACAGGTGCTGTTGACATTAACTATTACAATGCTTTTTATTGAGTTATTCTTTGTTTATCCATCTGAAAAAATATGAAGTGTGGTGTCTGTGTTATATATGTTTGTCTCCTTTAACCAGTTTCCCTCTGTGTGTTCAGGTTAAATGGGCTAAAGAAAATTACCATCACAACATTGGCTCCCCGTATTCCCTACGTTTGGCTTCTGCTGATGCCACAGGGAAAATCATTGTGTGGGATGTGGCAACAGGAGCAGCTCGCTGTGAAATACAGGAGCATTCCAAACCAATTCAAGGTAATGAGAGTGGATGGGTTTCCTATGGAAGGTATTTTATGGAGCATTTTGTGTACAAATCCATCACCTGTGTTTTATAAACTGTGCTCTGTTCTGACAGTGAATTCTGCTCTTGGCATTGCCAGCCTTCTGTATATTTGCTTGCTCTTTTTATGAGGAAATGTAAGATTTACTGTCTCCCAGAGGAATGCTGTGAGATTTAATTCATTATGGTGATGTTTTCCAAGACAAAAAGTTAGCATCCATTTTTATGGATGTTACTGATTGCAGTAATAACATTTACAGTGTCAAGTACATCTTCCTGCTTTTCAGTTGGGGTTGTGGAGCAGTTTGAATTGCACCTGAGTGCTGCTGCCATCTGAGGGGGTGCAGTGCTTTAACAGCATTACATCTATAGAAATTAAAGGTTTTGATTGGGCACATATATTTTGACAGTTATGTAGATAGCTCATTATGTAGCTACTTCTGATCAAATAGATTGGTATGATAACATACATTTGCAATCTAAGCAGAGAGAGAAGGTTTTTTTGAGCATTTCAACTATTTCAAAAACTTGTGATGATGCTTATGTTATACCCAGTGGTTTTTTTAAACTCCTATTATATAAAAGCCTGCTTATGAAAATAAGTTGTTTGGTTTTTGTTATTCTGGTTTTATAATCCTGTGAAAGAAGATATAATATTGTAAGTCTGATAGTGAGTCACTGCAGTTAATTTTATTAGTTTTATTACTTTTTTGTTTGTGTGTGCAACAGAATTAAAATTCTGGGTTGTCCTCAGTTGCTGATTTGATTCAGCAATAACCTCTAACAAAAACAGCTTCTTTTCCCTTCCTTTCCATGTGTTTCTGAGGCCTCTGACTTTCTCCAAGCTGTAGAAAGTGGTGCAAATACAGAGATTGAGCACCAGAGTGATCTGGTTCTCTGGGTTATCTGCAAGAGCTTTGTGGGATGACAGCTGCAGCCTCAGGAAAAAAGCCTCACACTTTTCTCCTCACTGTTTCAGGGAGGAGGAAAGTGGTGCATCAGTATAAGGCACTCTCCTTTTATTTGATGCAAACTTTGCATTCAGCTGAGAAGGAGTTAAACCTTTTGTTAACTTCCAGTGTAATAGATTTGGACACACCTGGCTGCTCTTTGTCCCTCTTTTCTTCTCTGTGAAACCCAGGGAAAAGCACTTACCAGCTCTGAAAAAGTGTTTGAAGTGGAGAAGACGTTTGTTTCCAAGTCCAGTACTGATACCATCTCAAATATTAATTTTAGATGGTGTTATGGCTCATGGTGTCTTCCCAGATATTAATTGGGATGGTGTATGGTGCTCTTAATTTTAACTCTGCAGTGGTTCTGTACAGTACAATGGGTTGTTTCACATAGAAATTCAGTGGCTGAAAACGTGTGACTTCTTCAGGTAGGACATGGATTTTGTGCATTTGTGTAGACATGTGCAACCCAGTTTGTTGCTGATTGTTAAAAACATAAATTCAGGCTATAATAGGAACTTAGGTTTTGGAATGGTGAAATAGAAACATCCTGTTGCTAACAAACCACTATTAATTCTATTAAAGATGAGGCATGGAAGAAGAGTAGTTTTAAAATAGAACAACTTTATTTTTAAATGAATTTCACTGTTGTTCCTTCTTTTCTTTTGACAGACATGCAGTGGCTGTGGAATCAAGATGCTTCTAGAGATTTGCTGCTTGCAGTTCACCCACCTAACTATATTGTACTGTGGAATGCAGACACAGGCACCAAACTTTGGAAGAAAAGTTATGCTGAAAACATCCTGTCTTTCTCATTTGACCCCTTTGATCCATCACACTTAGCTTGTAAGTTTATCTGTATAAAATACTGTGACCTGGTTACGTGTGACCAGGAAAAATGTTAGGCTAGAATGTTAATATTGAGGTTAAATGTAGTGGATTGGAGAGAATAATGTCATAAATGCCATGAAGGAGTCTCAAAGCAAAGACAGGGAAGTCTTTGGCCGATGTGAAATGTAAAAAGTGTAAGAGGATAGCTGCAGAGGGAGAATCCAATAAGTAGACCAAGAATAAATGTTATTTTCAACAGAAAGGATTTTTTTTTTAAGGAATACAGCGTGAGCATCAGCTTCAGAAGCAATTCAGATGTCAAGAGGGGGATGGAGGGAACATTTATTCATTTTAGCAGAAAGAAACTGAGAGAAATAAGAGAGTCACCATTTTCTTCTGGAATTCAGCTCCATCAGTCCTGATCTCTAATGAGACAGCAGAGTTTGATGCTTTGTAATTTTGGGTTTTTTTCATCTGCAATACCACTCAGCCTTCTGTAGACATCTTAGTTATTCAGCTGAGCCAAAACTTTATGCTGCAGCATAAATAACATGAGTTAAGAATTCTTTGAGCTGTGCTCTGCATGAGAACAAAAAGTGGTGATGCAGCCAATGTGCACAACTCTTCTATTTGCATTGTGAAGCTTAAAGGAAAACAGTTTATGGGAGAGAATAACTGAGTTTCTGCCAGTAATACAGTATTTTTTTAATATAAACTTAATTTTGAAAGGGGAGTTTTGTGGATATTAATTAATTGTAATGTGCCATCTGCTGCTTTTTCAGTAGAATGTGCTAATGGTCTAGAATGATGAGTTTTCTCCCTGATAGAGTATTATTAAAGTTATTACCATTTCTCCTCACTGAGATGTCATTAAACTTGGAATGCCAAAATCAAATTGCAGATTGAATTTTGCTTTTTTACTTTTTTCTTGTTACAGTGCTCACCAGTGAAGGAATAGTGTTCATCTCTGACTTCTCTCCTTCCAAAGCTCCTGCCAGCTCAGGGAAGAAAGTTTACATCTCTAGTCCCCATTCCAGTCCTTCTCACAACAAGCTGGCTGCTGCTACAGGGGCCAAAAAGGCCCTTGATAAAGTAAAAATCTTAATCAGTAATGAAAAACCGAGGTAGGTTGCAAATATTTCTTCTCAGATAATGTTTTGTATACCTGTATATCTTATGGATATAATAGCCTATAAGGTAATTAGTTTAAAAAAAGAAGATTCACTGGGGTAGGCAGATGTGAGGGTAATATTTAGGAATATAACATTGACATCCAGTTCTGCTCATAAAACCCACCATATCATCTCAGCATATTTTATATAACTCAAATGGCATAATTTTCTCCTTTTGCTGACAGATTTTTATGCAGGTGTAAATTCAGAAACAGCTTTCTTAGTGGAAAAAAAAAAGATGAAAATGAGCTCCCATAATTCATTTTGGTTGTGGATTGAGGAGTGATATAGCTAGAGAATAAAAATTATGCAGGTACCTGAGAAGAGTTGTCATTCTAATGTTGTACATGATACTGCAGCAGGAGGCATTTTCTAAATGATTGGTGTATAAATAAAATTAGAATTTATGATTGCATTCCTATTTGTATATTTTCTGCCCTTCTAAAACTTAAGTTGTTGCATTTTGAGATTATATTTTTTTATTAGAAATTCTCTAGGCCGTTTTCTTCCGTAATAATTATCTTTGTATTTTCTATTTGAGCATTAAAAGTATTTCTCAAACCTATGGCAAATATGAGAACCCACTAATCAGGTTGTATCAGTTAGCAACTTGTACTCTGTTATAATAGGGAGTTTAAATTGCAAACTGAGGAGAAGACTTGACTGAGGAGAAGATTTTTATATGAAGTTAATGGGCATGATCTTTTCATTTTCTGTTCTATAATGCCTGATTTGCAAATATTGAGGCAATACATAGGCTGCTGCAGCCCTATGTGTGCTCTGCATTAGCAGCAAACCATCAGAGATACCATTTTTGTGCTTTCTCTTGGTTGCATTTTAATTTAAATATGAATGCTGTCAAAGGTATGACTGGCTTCTCTTTTCTCCCTCCTTTTCAATCCAGAATAGAAAGACTAGAATGAGAAAAGAAAATAGGAAGAAAAATTGTAGCAGCAAAGATTTGTGGGGTTTTATATGAGTTTAAGGAAACTCTGAGGAAAGAGGAGCAGGAGATTGTCAGGAAAGTGCAGACAAAAGGGGACTCAGAGTCCCAAAGGAAGGAATGAGGTGCAGGAAGTGTGTGAAAGGGTTTAGTGTGTGGTGGAATGAGATTAAAAACAAAACCCCTCAAAGGGATCATCCATTAAATGAGTTCAGAGGCTTTGAAAACTGAGCATGGGATGAGGATGATTTTCTTCACCATGACCCAAGTTCCTTGGATTCCATGTCCCTCAGGAACTCCTTTATCTTGCAGCTAATCTCCTGTTCACCTTTCATAAAATGATAAACTTTCCTCTCTTTGCTACTTTCTCTGAATATTTGAAGACTGGGATTCTTGCTACACTGGTTCAGTTCATTTCCAAATAAAGTAATATGCATAACAATATAAAAATTGGAGTAAGCAATATGTTTAAGGGTAATTTCCCATGAATGTCAGTAAATGTCAGGGCAGCCAGCACTGTTCCTAAGTGAATTGCTTTGTATGTGAGGTGTGCAAGAATTACACTTGTTCCATTTGAATGAAATGCTATTTTTAAAATTGCTCTCTAATCTTATTTAGACAAAAGCCAACAGGGTGTGTTTTTGGAGCTCAGTGATGCTCTGCACTGCTGTAACAGTTAAATGGAAACCTGCAGTTGCCTCATGATCAAAATAGAGGTTACTTGAAACAAATGCAGCTGCAGGAGAAATCGTGCTGTTAATTTTATTTTGACAGAACCTGATAAATGTTTATGTGTCTGACATTTTACAGTGCTGAGTCTGTGACACTCAATGACTGTCTCCAGTTGTCATATTTGCCTTCCAAGAGAAACTACATGCTGTTATTGTACCCCAGAGAAATTCTGATTCTTGACCTGGAAGTGAATCAGACAGTGGGTGTGATTGCAATTGAAAGAACAGGCGTGCCTTTCATACAGGTAATGAAGATTTGATGGGTTTTTAATCATTGAAATATTTTATTAAGATCATAGATAAGTTGGTGATCCTCTGAGAGTTGTTTGGTTAGTTCTAGAGAATGAAAATAAGTTAGTTCATCGGGGGGAAAACGTCCTCTGAACCAGCAAACAATTCAAACAAAACCTTTCAATTAATTTTTCACATTAATTGACTTCCTCAGTCACAAATCCTGTACCTAAAAAAAAAAAAATCATGGCAATGTTGCATTAATGGTGACATTTTTTATGACTCGCTTATAGATCAGCAATCAGTGTGTTGTATTTGCAAGTGCCCTTTGCTAAGGTTGAAATTTTGATAATGTGATATAATGTCTCTCTCTCTCTGTGCAGGTAATTCCTTGTTTCCAGAGGGATGGGTTGTTTTGCCTCCATGAAAATGGTTGTATAACTCTGAGGGTTCGCAGATCCAACTGCAGCATAACTGGAACTCCAAGTGAAGAGCCAGGTAAGTTTTGTGTCAAAAACGTCCTGAAATGCCTTTTAATGTCCTTTGATGCCTTTTAATTAATAATTTAACACCAGTATTAACCATCATGCCTCGTATAGGATGGTGAATTACAGCCCTTCTAGTGTTTTTTCTCCCTGTGCATTGAATTTAAATTTAAATTTGTGCTGCTTTTTCCCAAAATGGTTTTTGACTTCTCTGATGTTAAGTGCAAAATAGATTATGTTAATATCCTCAAAATCCTTTTATCACTAAATAATACTTTAATTATAAGCTGGCTTAGCAGTCACAGATACAAGGATGTTATACATAAAAGATGAGTAGTGTGTTCTTTTTATCTTTAAGAATGGACATATTTTTCAGGCAAGCACAAGGTTTTGGAAGTCATTTGGTCAATTGGAAGAACTGATTTTAGAACTAAGATATGGGGTTTAGATTAATATCTAAATTATTAAACTTCTGTCTCTTTTATGAAATATTACTAAGGATGGTCTTCTAAATACAACGGAGCAGATTGGAAAAAAGGGAAAACATAGTTCTGTAAATGTAAATAAGTGATTTTTTTGTGGTTGTTTTGATTTGGGCAGTTTGCTAATTTCTAGTGAGCTACTTTACTGGCCTCCAGGTCTGCCAGTAAACCTGGAATTTTAAATTGTGGAGAGCAGATGAACTTTGTGCCCAGATATTAAACAGTTATTTTTTAGATTTTGCAAGATTCACGTGGAAGAAGATATTTTAAAGCCAAAGTTACACTTTGGAGAACTTTTCAGAGCTGTGCTGTGTACAGCAAGATCAGTAGTTTTTGATTGCTTTTCCCAAACATGGATTTCAGTCAGAGAGCTTCAAACATGCCTCTGATGATTGATCCCATCCCGTGTTTTTCACTCTAATTCTTTGTCCTGTGTGGGACCATTGATGTTACAGATCCAGAGCCAGTTCAGGAGCTGATTTATGATTTAAGAAGTCAGTGTGATGCCATCAGGGTGACCAAAACAGTGCGACCCTTCAGCATGGTGTGCTGCCCAGTGAATGAGAACTCTGCAGCTCTCATAGTCAGTGATGGCAGGGTGATGATCTGGGAATTAAAATCCAGTGTTTCCGGCAGAAATATTCGGAACAGGTAATGGGATTTATTTTTTCTTACCGTGGTTTCAATCTGTTACGTTTATGGTGATGTCCTTCAGTTGTTTTTTTGGTATTGTGACACATGAGAATGAAAGGAAGAGGAACAAAATGTGTCATCCAAAAAGATTAGTTCCCTTTCCTTGGGGAAGTGAAGGAGCTGTATTTCCTCTTCTTTCTTTAAGAGATAATTCCATCCTAAGTGGTTGGAGTAAGAAAACAAAAGATAGAATGAATGTTCACATTATTTTAGGGGAATGTCACCTGAGTCTTTAAAGAACTACATTTCCAGGAGGGGAAGGGTTTTCTGCTTTGTTTGTGTGAATTTGACACTGAACAATATGAAGCTGCACAGCAGGTGACTGGAATATGGTGGTATAAACAATGTTTTTGTGTACAAAGCCTCTAGAATTTTAGACTTTGAGCAGTTTCTACAAATACTTGGTGAAGGAATGTAGTTCTTTGAGCATTCAATGTGTTAAGGTCATTCTGCTGCAATAACCCTTGAAAGTACTGTTGAATAACATAAATAAATAAAATAAATAACTAAAATAAATAACTTACTACTGTAAAATAAATAGATTTCTTAGTACACTTTCAAATGTCAGTAGTACCAGATTTTCAACTTAGACCCTTTTGTTGCTCATCAGTGATTTAATATTTTTATTCTTGGTGTTCTCAAAAATACTGCTGGTTGGATTCCTTGTGCTGCATATCCAGGAAAGCTGTTTAGAATCCATATGTTCCTGGGTTTTACTTCTTGTGTCCTTAAGAGTAATTTCCAAAACATTGATCCTTGTCATAATTATATAACCCCCCCAAAAATGTAATAACATTAGAAGAGCCACTGAGCCTTGGGGATTGTGGGTATAAAGCATATTTGTAATTGGCACAGAGTCTTTAATGGATTTTGAAGGAGTCTTCCTTCATTAGCTCTTGATCCTGCTGGATTTCATGGTCATCATGAAAATGTGAACAGAAAGTGTTTTGCAGTGAGATTTTAAAGAAAAACATTTTGTTTTCATTCCTTTTACAGCAGTTCAAGTGCATCACCTTTGTATTCCCCAGTCTCCTTCTGTGGAATTCCTGTAGGAGCATTCCAAAATAAACTTCCAGACCTCTCATTAGACAACATGATTGGTAAGAATTGCTTTCATTAATATTACAGGGTTTTTTAAATGGTTGTGCATTTTAGCTTGAGAACTGCATTTGTTAGAATTGTTTTCTGTGCAATTTAAATAGTAACTCTGAAATTAAAGAATTCCTGTTTGCTAAAGAAGTTATCAAATGAATCCATTTGAGGACCAATGCTTCAAGTTCATTTTCTCTGAGGAAAGAAAAAGTGTTTTAAAATGGAACTTGGCCAAAACTCTTTCATTTTTTGATATTAATCTCAAACGGATGAAGCCAATTTATGTGACACATCCCAGCTATTTGAAATCTACTTCAATATTGAGAAATTTCCCATTAAGATGCTTAGGTTTATGTTTTAAAACTAATTTCTGTTGGAAAAGCCACTCGTGCTGCTCAGAGATAGAAAGGTGCAGCTTTGGAGCTGCATATGTTGAGAGGTGTCTGCATGAGCTGGTGTGGGTACCTTAACATATATTCACTTTATCTCATGTTTTTAAAGATGCCATTTAGGGCATGAATTTTTAAGTCCAGCCTGGAAAAGGCTCTGAGCAACCTGGTCTAGTGGAAGGTGTCTCTGCCCATGGCAGGGAGTTGGAATGAGATGAGCTTTCAAGTCCCTTCCAACTCAAACCATCCTGTGATTCCATGAATTTTTCTTGTACCTGCATTTCCTGTAGTCATTGACATCACAGCTAATGTTGGTTTTGTTCCTCACAACATTTGGACTTGTTCAGCTGGCTGCAGAAGGTACACAGCACTGGAATTACATCTTTTTTGGGCCTCTCTTTATTGCTGTGCCTGAGACAATTCACTGTATTTCTGGAGGTAGATTGCACTTTACTGTCTGGGGTTGAATTCTGGAAGAGGACTGGAATTATTGCACTTGCTTTCTTTTCTTACTTTTTTTAATGTCCTTCTTAGTGTTAGGAGAGAAAGTTAGTACTGGAGAATTAGTGGAAGTGCAGTCTTCCAAAAAGTTTCCTCACACAGAGCTAAACAGGAAGGAACGTGTCTTGTGCCTTATTTGTAATATTTAATGATATAAATTTCTGTGTCTCATAACTTTCCATAACATCTCTGATTAAAACAATCCTAACAAGAGCTTTAATTTTTAAGCAGGGCAAGGTGCAGGTGCTGGAGAAGAGCAGTTAAGGAGCTCATTTCTGCAAGAAGTGCACCTCAAATTCCTGCTGACTGGACTCCTCTCAGGGCTCCCTCTGCCTCCGTTTGCCATCCGCATGTGCCCACCCCTTACAACAAAGAACATCAAACAGTATGAGCCAATCCTGGCTGTTGGTAAGTCCTTGAATAGCTTATTCATTGCTCTGCAGAGTAGATATTAAATGCAAATATAGTTGCTAATACAGAAGAGAAAAATCTGTCTTTTGATCCCGTGCGAGTAATTAAAGATATCGACCCTTTTTCAGCTGTGATAGTCCTTGGATTCTTCTTTCCTGCCTTGAGTTTAAGCAATGCTACCTGAAAAATTGCAATACAGTAGCAAGTTTGTATTTATCCTTTCATGTACTGTGATGCTGGTCTGTTGATACACTCAGCATTTTACATGCTGCTCTCGCTTCATTTTAAACATCAAGAAACACGGATTTCTGCAGTCCTGCATTCCTGGAATAAGGAAATGAACTTTACAGAGACTTTATTTTTGCTCTGATTTGAATATTTAAAAATACACTCGAAGCATATTATTCTATCTTATTCCAAATGTAGTTAAACTCATCTGGGTATTAGAATACTTGCCAGTGAGCACCTGATTTATTAACTCTGAGTTCTCCCTGTTTAAATCTGATTTTTCTAGTGTGCTCTTTCAGACCACATCAGGGATCTCACAGTGCATCCACGCAGGCTGCTGCCTCTGCTGTCAGCAGACTGGAAGAGCAGACACAGAGATGCTGGAATGTAAAGATTGTAGTGCATTTGTAGAATTAGACCTCGGGATTTGGGTTCTTCTAACATACTCTTAGCATATCTAAATATCAGTCCAAATCTGTGTCTGTCCTAAGTCAGACTTGGGAGAGTCTTGTTATTCCTGATGTTACCTGTGCTGTAGAGCCTTCCTAGATTCCTGGATGGGGTGGGGGAATTATTACAAAGATGAATGTTGGGCAGGAGCTTGCAAAGAGGATGTCACTCCAGTGACAATACATGTTTGTGTGTGTGCAATTCTCATAATACTGGTATTTACTGAGCTAAAATACCACCTAGAATTGTGCTCTAAAACATAGGCAGGCTCTCATGACATGATGTGATGCTGCTAAAATTGGATTTTTATAAGCTGTAATTCTTAAAATAAGTTAAATACAAAGATTAGGAAACAGGTATAAAGTGCATTTATAGCAAGGTCTTTCTTGACTTAAGGTACCTGAATTGCTCTTTAGGTATCCCCTGCTGTATTTTGTGAAGTGATCTGAGTATAAAGAAGTACCTGATAGAAAATTGTAACTTTCAGTGTTTCTGAAGGTTTTTGATGTAGTTAGAGCTAATAGCTACCAAGTTATTGATTTCTAATTTGGAAGAGGTCATTATTTCAGGAATGAGAAAGCAGAATTGAATTCAATAAAATCTGCCCATGATTCTCCCCTGGCATTATTGGTGGATAACAATTAATAAATTTCCTTGAGGCATTTACTCCTCTCCAGCAATCAAACCAAACAGAAACACTCCTTTCCTCTGCAGCTGGGTGGGTATGTTGTGAAAATGCAAAAAGAATGAGCAGATTTTCTCCAGGCTCTATAAATAGGTGCAAGAAAAGTCTTGATCCAAGTGGATATCACTGGATGGCTTTAATATTTGGGATTTCAGTGCTAGAAATCAAAGTGCCTTTTCTAAAATTGTAAAATGTAATAGTTACAGGAATTTTTTAAAAAAGAGAGGGAGAAATAGCTGTAAACCCTGCATTTTCACTAAAGTGTAGAAGAGAAGAATAAAATGTGAGTCTGTATTTTTTTTATCACTTTTTATAGGTACAAGTAATGGCTCTGTCCTGGTGTTTCACCTTACAAGTGGAGTCTTACACAAAGAGTTAAGCATCCATTCCTGTGAAGTCAAGTAAGATTTTCATTTTAATTCCTACTATAATCCTTCTAGGAAACAAATCCTAACCCCTCTGACTGGTGTTCCAGCAGAAGTGTGGGTGTCCTGCCTTGCTGTTCATGACACTCAAGGAAACTTCCTGTCAAGTCTTTACCCCATCAGTGTCTTTGCTGTGTATAAGCTGCAAAACACTGACAAAATTGGAATAAAAATGACATTGAAACAAGTATGTGCTGCTGATCTAGGATGTATATCAGCTCCTTCCAGTCTCTTTAGTCACTGGAGTACAAAGGAGTCTTTTTAGGACAAGAAACCTTTTTCCAGTGTAACAGTCAGGACTCATGGATTGTGTCCTTTGAAATAATTCGGATTTGTGTGTCAGGGTTTATTTGCTTTGTCCCCCTGGGGCTGAAATAGCTGTTGAGACAGATCTAGTCCTGACTGAAGTCAAAATAATTGTTTTGTTGAAAGATTTTAAAGGCTGAATATAGGAATAAGTATTTATCCATCCTAAGAAGGAACAGAATAAGTTTAAGGCTGTTGTGCTGTGTGTTTGTGTACACGTTGTGCACACCATGGCAGAAGTTTCTGGATAACTAATGGCAAAGATATCAAAAATGGTGCTTGCTGGATACATATTTCCAAACAGGATACATATTTCCAGACAGAATTAAGCATGAAAAATGAAATATTTCTAGTACTGATATTAGTAAAAATTTATTGTGTCATGAAGTCTTTATCTGGTTAAGGGCTGCATTTTACTGTGCACTCTCCAAAAGGTAAGAAAAGTAGAGTGACTGAGAATAGGTAGCTCTGAGAGTTCATTATGGAAACCTGCTTGGAATCTACCACAAAAATTAGGTAAGTTTATTTATGTTTGTAGTATGATTAGCTGGCACTGTAAGAATAGAATTCCCCTTTGTGTTCTGAACCATTTGAATCTTTATGGTTTCATCCCATCAACTACTTATGAAAATATTTTCATTTTATTTTCTGTTCTGCAGCACAAGAGGATTGTCCTTTCTTTATTAAAGTGATTATAGAATTCAAAATAAAAACTGCTACTGACATTTCACAGATGAAAAAAAAATTAAGATAGAGAGGAAGAAATAAATACACTTCTAAAAAAAAACTTTGTGTATTATTAGAAGTATTGTTAGTTTGGGCCTTTCAGTTTGTCAGAAGTTTGCAGCTTTTAAGAACCTTCAGGACTACATTGTCTTTCTTGCAACTGTCTTCAAAAAGTGGTATTTTTAGAAGTAAAATAAAATGTTTGTGAATTCTATTTAACCATAAGCTGGTATCTGGGTAAATCTTCTAAATATTTGTTCTAATGTCCTCAATCCCAGCCTTAGTAGTCTGAATGACTTTCCACAGAATTTTTACAAGTTTAAGGGAATGCTTCAAGCAATGTAGTCTGAGGCACAGGGGTTCTTTTTGATTTTAATTAATTTTCATGGAGTGCAACAGTTTTTCTTCCAGTGGGAATTCTTACTTTACCTGTAAAATGCAGATAGATTGGATAATGCCTCTGTATCTGAAAATATACCTTCAGGGAACATCATTATTTTAGTATGTAATTGAGAATACCCTGGAATTATAACTCCAGGCCAGCAGAGTTTTCAGTGCTCTGTAGTTTGAGAATGTAATAAAAATAAGGCAATTGTCCTTTACAAACCAAGTGTGCTAAAGTAATGAGTTCTTTGGGTGTTAACAATTACTATTTTTTTGAGATTAAAGTGTTCTTTTGTAGAAGCTACATAGGTATTCACAGGCTGATTTTTTTGTTTTGATTGAATTTTTGTTTTTATTTAAACTTTGAAAATCTGTGTTGTGATTAGGAGGAGGAAGAATTGTCTTTCTGTCCTTTAAAGATAGTTCATAGTTAGGAGTAACCTTGAATATTTATTTTATCTGTGATTATTGCTTGGCTGTTTCACTGTTTGTTTAGAGCAATGTAAGTAAATAATAGAGAGAATTCCAATAATTCTTATTATGGAGGGGAATTAGAAGAACCATGAAATACCAAAGTCTGATCCCTGTTCTCCATGGACCAGTCTAAGCTATTGTGGCAAAACAGGAGATGATAATCCATCTTCAATACAGAGAATATATTTGGGACATGGAAATAAAATTCCTCCAATGTTCTTCTGGTCCAGTGGCACATTTGCACCTCTCAGTGCTGCTTTTCCTTGTCCTGATAGAGAGATTGCTGTGACTGGAGCAGTGCTGCTCATTCTTTTTCACTGAAGCTCAGCAAGTTCAAGGCTGAGCTTTTATTTTTAAATTTAAAATCTCACTGATTGTAACAAGAATGTTTATGGCCTGCAGGCAAAACGTGGGAATTATGGCATTACATCCGAGTTTTAGCAGTTGCTTCAACATTTGAATTTAAGCTGAGTGCCCTTTGGGAAACTGCTTTGCAAACATTCTACACCTCCTTAAAAAAAACTTCCCTTGAATAGAGAAATTAGAATGAAAAATATCTACTGTTACTTTGGTCCCACATATGGTTTTATTTCCCATTTTATCTTGCTCTTTTTCTTATAATCCTTAGATTTAAGTAGCAGCTGCCATGTCATAAAGTCACAGCAATCCATTCCCAACTAGAAAACTAATTTATGTTTTTATCCACTTCAGTACCCTCTGTAATTTGTTTGCATTGGAAACATTAATCAGAACAACTGAGCCTCACTTTTAAGTAACTGAGACAAGCTGAATGTATAGAATCCCTGAATTTTATAATTTTAAAGAGTGGATTCAGTCTGAGCAATAATTGAGAGCTGAATGTAACCCTTAATTCTGGTGGGCAGAGATGTCTTTTATGAGGAAATGGAGCTGTTTCAATAGGGAAGGCATTACTTGTTTCCTTCATTGGAGTTTAAACCACTGTCTTCACATTCTCAGTTTGCCTGTGTGACAGTGACAAAGATGATATTGTTTCAGGTGCAAGCAGTTAGCCAAGCTAAGGTTTCCTCTTGCTGATGAGTGTCTGGGGTTTCTGTAGGTTTTTATTAGTATTGACAGATGGCCAGGCAGCAGCAGAGAAAAAGGACTTGCCCCGTTAAACCTGAGCTGATGAAAACTAAAGAAAATGCTTCAGGTCTTTGAAGGAGAAGGGTGAATAACTACCAGCAGTAACAAGGCATTATGACTTGCTGGGCTTTTTCCAAAAAACATAGTGGAGCAGTAGATAAAAAAATGGAAAGGTGTCAGAATTCCCATTTCTTCCATTTCAGAAAGCTCCCTGTATTTCTGACCCTTTGGAGACCTGCAATGTCACACATTACCACGGTTACAGATTCCTGTTCAATCATTCCTGCCATGTTTCAATTAATCATCGAGTACTTCTCATTTGGATTGAAATTATTGCTTGAACTTTCATAGGTCCTGCTGGGAAAAAGGCTGGGTCTTAAATTTTTAATTTTTCTTGAGGGCTTAGGGATAAAGCTCCCTCTATTTTTAAAGCTTGGACTAAAATAATAAATATGGCCGTAAATTATATGTGCAGAATATTATGGGAGTGCTTTTTGTTTTCACCCATCTACACTACATTTGGGGAACTTCTACTTAATGCAATGTGAATTGGATTTACTGACATTAAATCATAAATACTGGTATTTATCTCCCTCATATTTCACATATATTCTTGCAAAGCACACCATGATTTTACAATTGAAGTAACAGAAGACTTGGTTGTCCTGGAAACATTTCTTAAATGATCTGTGTTTGAAAGATTTGAGGAAAACCTAAATCCTTTTATCCATGTTAAAATTAAGTTGGGCATATGTTTGTGTTAAGAACAGTCTCAATTTTCTTTTAGATTAGTTCCTTGATTTATGTCAATATAATGTCAATGAGATAAAGCACTCAGCAGGTTTTGCAGGCACAAGGTGTGTGAGTGAAATGGGGATGGAGGATGATCTCCTTTTGGAACAGTACCACCTAGTGCCACTTTTTGTCTTCTTTGCTCTGGGCTATTATTCTAAGATATTGTGGATTCTAAGAGTTTTCTTAGAATCCATCTGTGCTGTGTGCAGTGTAACTTCACATCCTTGCAGCACTGAGGTAATTTGGTTGGGAGCTGCCTTGGAGTGAGCAAAAAGAATAAAAAAAATCACCAGGTTTTCGGTTTTTTAATGATAGCCTTTAAAATCTCTTCAGGGCCTTTCTGGTTTTTATCATCTTTATCTCTCCTCTCTGTGGACTGAAGGAATGAAGTCCTCCTGCCCTGCTATCCATATCAATATTTCTCTGTATGTTGGCTAATTTGAGTTGTTTGATAGTAACCACTGACTTAATCAGAGCAGTGCTTTTAGTCCCCTGTAGAGCTGACTCTGTGTGAGGGATTTCTGCAGAAGTTGACAGTGCTTTTAACTGAAATTTTTGCTTTAACCAAAGAAGAACTAGTGTGGTCTGAAAAGAAAGCTGCTCTTTAATTTAATTCAGTAACTTTATATTTCCATTATACTTGTAAAACTCATACCTTATTTTTATACTTAAATATGATGTTTCCACAAAGTGGAGAAAATTACTTCTGTGCTGTTTTCTTTAAAGAATATGCAGGAAAAAATAGATTAATTGTACTTCAGGTTATTTTATTATTATCAGGCCATCGAAATATTTTGGCTAATGTGCTCCATGTACTCCCTTCTGATCCCAGGGGGATTGAGTGGATAAGCTTGACTGGATTCATTTCCTTTGCCACATCAACACCCAACAATCTGGGCCTGGTCAGGAATGAGCTGCAGCTGGTGGACCTCCCAACAGGTGAGTGTTTCCTTTTTTTATTCCTCCTGTTGTCATGAAGAAATGAAACAGTAAAGAAGAGTTTTAACTGGTTTTGCTCTTCTGTCCTTGTGAAGCCACGTGATGTGTTTTGTCTGGTGCTCCACAGACAGACCTGAACCAACAGGTTTGCAGAAACATCTGTGCCTTGGTCTGATTAAAAAATATGAATAAGTGTCAGCAGGGGGTTTAGAAGGAGTCAAGGAGTCACAGAGCACCAGTATTAGTGGTGGATTTTGTTCACAAAATGCATTTATTTCTGAATGTGTGTTGTCAGAGTGTGCACCCACTGATTCACATGCACCTGAAATAGTGTTGAACCATTTATTGTGCTTTCTGTTGGCAACAGATAATTTTTCCAGGTACTTCAGGCCCATGGCCAGAATTTGAGTGTGTGAATGTGTGTAAAATAAGTATTTCAGTGATAAAATCTGATACTTTTAGAAAGAATTGGTAACGTTAAGAAATAAATAACTTTTTAAAAGATACTGTTGATAGCAAAATGAACAGGTTGTGTGTGTTTTTCAGCTATTCTGGCCTAATAATGGATGACAAACATATTTGTGATTGAACTCAATATTTGCACAATACTAGGAGGTTTAACTGGGGAAATTAGCCCAAAATAGGAAGCACTTCAATAATTTTAAATTTATTTTTGAATGTAAAAACCTGGAGCCATTTAATTTCTAATTGAAGAGCCTGAATCTGGTAACACATGGCTAATTCTGAATTATTTTATGTAGCATAAAGCAATTTTTTTTTTAGTGTGGTTTTTTAAGCTGATGGAAAAAACTCAATTGTTGTATTTCCAGGATGCTGCACAAAGAGTTTATTCTTGTAACATGACATTATTTTATTTTTTTTGATATAATGTCTTTTGTTCATCTGTTTAAAACCAAACCCAAAAAGATACACACATTGTGATATTAATCTCATATCAAATGAGATTTTGCCTGGGCACTCAGCTTGTAAATCAGTGCTGAACATTTATAAACAGAAGTGAGACCTTAGCATATGGTTTGCTTAAAAATGTTACATTTCCTCTTTACAGCTTTCAAGAAAGGCATAGCAATTTAACTGTTTGCTTGTTGCTTCTTCCATCACTTGTGTGCCCAGCCTTCTATTTTAGGGCTAAGAAAAAACTGTGCTGATTTGTGTTTACTTTGCAAACACTAAGACAAAATTCACATTTACATTTCTGAACCAAAAAATGAAAGAAAATTCCTCCAGTGCTTCATCACAAATGAGGAAGAGCTGGAAGATTTCCTGTAGCCTGGCCTCTGACATGAGAGCTCTAAGCAGCATTCTTGATAACCAGATTTATTCATTATAATTAGTATATAGATTTATTCATTATAATTAGTATAAATAACTTAGCTACAGGCAGCCACAAGAGTAGCTAAAGTTGAAAAGCTTGAATTTTCCTTGAAAGCTGAGGAGAATGAAACCTGCAGAGGAGATGCTCTGGTACCCCTGTGTTTGTAGGTCATTATTTCTTTTAGTGATATGTGTAACATCTATAATTCTGCAACACTTTGTGCAAGTGGGTGAAGATTTTGTTGGGTGTAAGATTATAAATTCTTATGGGGATAAGATTATAAATTCTTAGGGTTTGTTCTTTCAGCTGGAAGGAAAGAGAAGGAAAACTTCGACAGTGACAAGAGCGATGTAAGAGGTGGCAGGTTACTTGGGGATGTTCTGGCTTGGTTTATAAACTATTTCTGTTTGCAAACAGAATTGTTGATGAACTGTTTCCATGTTTATATCTAGTTTGGTAACTCTTTCTCTTTTCCCTCTGCTGCGTTTGTGTTCCAGGCAGGAGCGTTGCCTTTCGTGGGGAGCGAGGCAATGACGAGCCAGCCATCGAAATGATAAAGGTGTCTCATTTGAAGTGAGTGCAGCAGCCCTGGGAGGTTTATATTTTTTATTCTGCTCCATGAGGATCCCCTTGACACCAGAGATTGTAGGAAAAAAAGCACTTCAGGGTGAATAGAAAAACATACAACAGTATCAAGAGAAAAATACTTCACAATATTAATTCCGAGTGCAAAAGCTGTGAATGTTTCTGGGGTTGACTCTGTAACTTCAGGATCCAATCACACTGCAAGATCAGTCTTTAATATTTTATTTCTTATAAAAATTGTGTTGACTGAACAGGCATTTTGATAATATTAGGGAGAATAAAAGTGCTGAACACTTTGTGTCGACTTTGAGTTTGTTATGAGTTAATTCTCTTTTCTGTAACTTAAACCTAACTTAAAACTAGGAAGTTTGGTATTAAAAATTGGATGATTTTTCACGTTTATTAGTTTTTTCTAAGTATTTCACACCTTTATAATAATTGTTTACTGGAAAACCAGATGTGAGATATAGTTGTTTGAAAAGTCAGCTGATAAATGACCAAATTGTTTACTATCAAGTCCTCATTATTTTTAGCTCAGGCCTGTGACAGGAGATGCTGGTCTTCATTGTATCAAAAATAATAGTAGTAATACTCTGGAAGATTACTTCCCTTTCCTCTCTAAATGAAATTAAATTGGTGTTGAATTTAATAAGGTGTTGTTTCTAAATCTTAAAATTTTTTTTTCTTTACAGTGGAGGAAAAAAATTAATGTCCTCTAGCTTGCTTAGGAATATTTTCAGAAGTATGTATACATTTCAGAGAATTTGGAAGAGTTCAAGCATGTAATGGTCTTATTAACACATTAAAAATTAAGAGCAGTCACAGGCTTAGATGAAGAGAGCAGAAAGTGCTGAGTGAGAACAAGAAAGAATAGAGATAATTCATTTGAATAGAGGTAATTGCAGTGGCAGAAAGTATATATTCTGCACACCCTCTCTATTTTCAAGTTAAATGTGAAAAGTGGTAGATTAAAGGTATTATACTTGTGTAGCTCCACAGATGAACAGTCTGAAGACATAACTGACAAGTGGAAGGTGGTTTTATGTTCATTTATTCCTGGATTAGGAAGTGGCTGCATCTGGAATAGAGGAAAAAATGTGTCCAAGCTACACTTTGGTTTGTCTTTCTGATACCTTGTGCAGCCATCAACTCATGGCCAAATCAGAGGTGCTGCTGCTTTCCCTGATCTCCTTCACAGTAACTGAGCAGAACCACCTGACAGAAATTTGTGTTAGCTTTGAGGAGAACTCTTTTTCAGATGTTCTTTATCTCTTCAGTAGCTCAAGGGAATCACAAGCTTCAGAGGGGGATTTGAGCTGAATTAGTTTGCTCTGTTTCCTCTTGGTTTTTGAGGATTTCCAGAATGCTGATATGAACAGTACACGTGAAGTAAAGTGCTCAAAGTAAAATGGAATGATTACTTTTGCTCTAGTAAATTCTCATTTGTTTTAGGCAGTATCTGGCTGTGGTATTTAAAGACAAACCACTGGAGATCTGGGATGTCAGAACCTGCACTCTGCTCCGAGAGATGTCTAAAAACTTCCCTACAGCAACTGCTTTGGTAAGGAGTAAATTCTGTTAATGCTTATCAAATGTGGTAAGCTGAGATAGTATAAAAACCTTTGAACAATTTTGTAGCAAAATGTCACTGTATCTGTAGCATATATGTATATATAAAGAGCTTTACCATCTCATCTCTCACCATTTTCATTTCTCATCATAAAGAGGCAAAAGGGAGGCACTGGTGAAAAACCTGATCTGTCCCTCAGGTGATGGAGGGAGGGATCATAGAAAACAATCTTCTTGCAAATCAAGTTGAGGGAATAAACATTTGTCTCTTCTGTTTTTCTGGACAATTTTTCACAGGAATGGTCACCTTCCCATAACCTAAAAAGCCTGAGGAAGAAGCAGTTGGCAGCCCGGGAGGCCATGGCCCGGCAGACGGTGGCATCAGACACCGAAGTGACCAGCGTGGAATCCTCTGTCATCAGGTCTCTGTCACTCTGATCTGATGTTCTTCTACAGCACTGGTTGTTTTTCCACCCTGGGCCATTGTTCTGTGGAACAGAATATTTTTGAACTGATTCTTGAGTGCGTAACAGGCAAAGCAACTTTATGGTCCTCCCTTCAGATTTTATATGTGGGACTTTGATGTGCTTTGAAGTTGTTCTCAGGTGTGTCTGTAGCCCCTTGGTTACCTGGTTCTTGAAGTAAAACTGTTATTTGACTCCAGACATTTTCACTCTTGCTTCTAGATAATTCGCTTTAAGGGATATATGGGATTTTTTTGTGCTGCCTGTCTGCACTAAATAGAATTGCAATCCTCGAGAAAGAAATAATTATGTCTCATTGTGTTCTTTTTAAAGCTTGTTACAGGAAGCTGAAAGTAAATCGGAGCTGAGCCAGAACATTTCTGCCAGAGAGCACTTTGTGTTTACAGGTGCTGATGGGCAGGTTTATCACCTCACAGTAGAAGGAAACTCAGTAAAAGACAGTGCAAGAATTCCTCCTGATGTGAGTCCAAATTTTCCATATCATTGATGCTTTAATTTTTTTTCTTAGCTATGAGTGCCTGAAAAAAAAATCAAGGATATGCCTTGTAGCAACAGGTGTCCACTAATGCAGTAGTTTGAAATCTGAAATACAAATTCCAACTTCAAAACCAGAACAATTCTGTTTTCACAATCTTTTTTTTTTTTGAAAACGTTATTGAAATAAATGATTTTTTTTACAAGTTGGAATCTTCACAGGTCCTGACTTGCTTTCTGAATAAATTACTTACTGAATATATTTTTAAGAATTTTAGTAAAACGTACACAAAATGTTGAATAACAGAGGCAGTTGTTGAAATGTGATTCTGTTCTGTTAATGGATTTTGTCTCATAAGGAGAACTTAAGACTGTGAGTTTTAAATTTGTTCTTTTCCCAGTTAGTCTGAAGAATTCTTTCTCTTTTAAATTGTTCTTGAAGGCTTTGATGCTTAGAAATAGGTGTTCTGTTATTTTTGTTTCCTGTTGTGATTAATGAGGTGCTTCCTTGCAACAAGAGGCAGAGGAGTGATTTCTGTTGCTATAATCCCAAAATTTTTTACAAGGAAATCTATTTTGAAGCAAATATGACGGACTTGATAAATGTTTATATTTGATAGAACTGTTTCTGTTTAAACTGAGTAGAATTTGGTCTTTCGTGTCATATAATATTTTTTTTAAATGTTGAAATGTTTATTCATATGTCTGTCTCTATTAACCACAAGATTTTGTTCTGCTTCTTAAATATTTTCAGGGAAGTATGGGTAGCATTACATGTATTGCTTGGAAAGGGGATATACTGGTTCTTGGAGATGTTGATGGAAACTTAAACTTCTGGGATTTGAAAGCTAGAGTGTCCAGGTATGAATGCAGATCAAGTCTGTCAAACATGAGATAATGAGTGTTAGAATTTGGGCTTCTTTCATCCTTCCTCATTTTTGTTCTTCACTGTAGGAGGTGTTTGAGGGGAAAATTTCAAGCATTTTGAAATAAAAATTCAGAAAATGCCTACTGTGTTACAGTTCTCTACATTTCAGCTTTTGTGTTTTCAGAAGAAGTAGCATTTAATGAAAGTTTTAAAACCAGCTAGGTATCTTTTTTACATTAAGTATTGTAGTATTTATTTCAAGCATTTAATCATCTTAGTTTTAATAATCTGTATAGCTGTTTGTGTGTGCACATACAGGTAGAGAGATTGTTCTCCTCCTCAGCCTGTGCAATATCAGGGTCTGCAGAGTTCATGGGAAGGATTTTATTGCCCACAATATGAGGTGGAGAGTGATTGATACTAATATTACACTTCCCTTTTCTCAGGGGGATCCCCACACACAGGAGTTGGGTGAAGAAAATCCGATTTGCCCCAGGGAAAGGAAATCAAAAACTTCTTGCCATGTACAACGATGGGGCAGAAATTTGGGATTCCAAAGAGGTGAGTGCCTGTGGATTTGATATTATTTTCAAAGCACACCTCTTACTTCTGAAAATCAGGGATTAAATTTTACAGAGTCATGATTTCTTGCTGACTGTTGTATGATGGAGTCCTACAACTTTTCTCAGAAGAATTTTACTTCCTATAAAGTGTTTTTAAACTGCCATCAATGAAAAGTACCTTTCACTCATAAAGCTGACAGTGTGTCTGAGTTCCTCTTTGTCACTCTCTTGGAATGGGTTTGAGGCAGACCTTGAACATTTAATGGGGAGTCCCCAGTTTTAGAATTTAATCTGTGGACAAGTGATTACTTTTACTACAGGTTTCTTAAATTCTGTGCGTAAGCAAGAATAGATTTAATTTGTTAGGGAATACCAGAAAACCAGACATTTTGTTCATTAACATTGTCTGGCTTCTCACCTTACTCTGAAATTCTGCAGTTATGTTCACAAATCTTTTGGGGTTTGGTTCATAGGTCTTTCAGGGGATGATAGTACCATGGGGGAGGAAAGATAATTGTAGTGTTTTAACTGAGCCCCCTGGACTAAGTTCAGGGTATGAGGGTGTGAAACAGGAATTTTATTTTTTTTCTTCTTGCTGTGTGATGAGCACCAGCTCCAAACTCAGGTACTTAATTGGTGCAATGTGAAAATCTGTTGGTGATAAGAGTTGGACAGCAGATATGAACAACTACTGTGAATTACATAAGCAGAGTAGAGTATTATCCCAGGAGTCTCTCCTTGAAGCACATTTGAATAGTTTTGTTGCCATAAGATGTTCCTCCCTCTTTTTTTTCTAGGCCAAAGGAGTTTCCTACATGAAAGCATTTAAAACTAAAATCACATTTTTCAGCTGATTTTAACTGAAAATCTTTCAGAAATCTGTAGTAATATTTTATGATCTCAGTCCTATTATAGATGTAATCATCTCCTTAGGACTTCAATTTTTGCCTACAACCAGTCCTAATTCTCTCACTCATGAAAATAATGGTGTCCTGGAGCTGTTGTACCTTGCATCTCTCTTACTCCTTGCTTTGCTCTACAACAAGTGAAAGGAAACAGCAGAATGTTGATTGCAGTGGAATTCTTGCTACTGTTTCCTTACATTAACAATTGTCATGTCCTGTGATGCTACAGAAGGGTTACAAAATGTCCAACTATTGTCCAGTTAAAAGGACAATTTAGAGTGTTTTGTTTCTCTGTCTTTTGTTTGTGGACAATGAACCATCCCATTCCCATAAAGTTCTGTTAATACTACGTCTAAGTGTATTTCTAGGCAGATTCAGTATTTACCAAAAAGGTGTATGTTAATGAAGAGCATGAATTAATTAGTAAGAACCTCACTCTGACCTTGATGCATGTGCTGGATCAGGGGACTGGAATTAAAGAGGGAATGTAGATTCCCACCAGTTCACCATGGAAATTTTAGGTCAGAAAAGACAACAAAAAGGCAGCTGTACAGCTGTGCTCAAAAGGATCTTTTCTCTCACCTCTAAATTGCGAAAAGTATTGTTTCAGGGCAACCACGTGACCTACTGCAAGGTTTCTAAATTCCCTGCTCTCCAGAAAAGACCATTATTAAAATGATTTCCAACTAACTTCAGAAAAGACCATTATTAAAATGATTTACAACTAACTTCACCTTTCAGTGTGAATTTTGAACTGTGCCTCGTGGGTGTGTGACACAGCCTTACACTGAGTGATGGAGAGCCTCCTAAAAATGCCAAATAACTTCCCCAGGTACAAATGGTGAGCAGTTTAAGGAGCGGGAGGAACGTGAATTTCCGGATCCTGGATGTGGACTGGTGCACGTCTGACAAGGTGGTCCTGGCATCAGATGATGGATGTATCCGAGTCCTGGACTTGTCCATGAAACCCTCCTGCTTCAGGATGGATGAACAGGACCTCATAGGTATGGTGATTTCATTTGGCTATCAGCTGGTAGGTGAAATGCACTTGTGATTTGAAAGGGGACCATAAATATGTTCAGCATTTCTGTTAGAACAGAAAATTGTCACATGTAGAGATTTTGATGCCTCTCTAGTGGTTTTCAAAGAAACAGATAAATGTTTTAGGCTTAGTTCATATGGATGTTTTTTAAACAACTCACACTTTTGAATATCTGAATTAGAATGAAAATGAACAAAATAAGAGCTTTTTGTGCAGAAAATCTGGGAAGGTGACTTAAAAAACATTGGTACATCACTTAGGTATCAGTACCTACATCACTGACATTCATGACATGATTCTGAAACGTTTGTAATGAGTGAAAATGTCTTTTCTGAATTTTTTTCAGGTATCAAAGGCAGTTTGTAGACTGATTCATTGCATTTCTCACATTGTTCTTTTACTTTTTTGCCATATGTTTAAGAAGGGAAATTAAATATTTAACTAGTTAACTAAGCTACTTTTTTTTTTATTACTAATGTTCCAAATAACTGCTTTTGTTGTCATCTTTGAGTCAATCCTACCTTTACTCATAGAATTTCCTTAAAACATTAGATTCCCTTAATGTAGGTTCTAACTGAGACATATTTGAAAAGTTGTGATGTGGGGAGCTGTGGAATGCTTGAGAGAACATGTAATTTATCACAGCTATTTTTGCTATCAAATGAATGTTCTGTAATATTAAGTTGTAAAGATTAATGTTGTAAAACCAAGCACACTTCAGTTAGGATGTGCCAGCTGTCAGGTTGCCTGTGATTTAGCTGTCCTGCCTCTACACTACTGGTAATCTTTTAATTACAGAATCACATTTGCTGGATTCCTGCATCATTCAGTGCATACAAAGTGCAGGGAATTTCTGAATATTTAATAATGTTGGTGCTTGTTTTACTCCTCAGTCACTGGTTGCATTTCCTGCACAGTCACCCAAACCTTGTACTGAATACAGAGTTACTGACTTTTAAATTTGTGTGACAGCAGTTAATCCTATAATTTTCATCTTATTTCTCTGCTAAGACAGACAGGTATTAAACATCCCAACATCCTTTCCAGATGATGGGTGCTAATCTTGTATTCTACTGTAGAAACCACAGGGGCAAAGCAGAACTAACCATGCCTTTGGGCACAGCTTTCCTTGTTTTCCAGCTTGCCCCTGTAGTAGCAATAATCATTGTATAAAGCTCTACTTCATGGCACTGAAATGTATTCCAGGAGTCTGTGGCTAAATCCAGTATGGAATGTCCTGAAATTCTCATTAGAGGATGGTTGATAACCCTGTCCCTCCTATGAAATGTTTTTGCCTGAGTGTACAGATAAGCTTTTATATCTAGTAACCTGGGCTGAGTATATGAAAAGACTGTTATTCATGATTTTCTTCTGCTGGCAAACAAGGTGGGACATTTTCTGTTTCCTGAACACAGTGTTATTGCACATTAACCACTCCAAAATGAATCTTTTCCTTTTGTTTCAGAACCTGCCTGGTGTCCCTATCTGCTTGTTCCAAGGGCTTCATTAGCTTTAAAAGCATTCCTGTTGCATCAGCCATGGGATGAGAAATATTCTCTGGATATAATGGACGTGTAAGAAGAAATATTTGTCTTATTATTTTTTAAATCCTACGTATTTTGTTGGTCTTTCTTTGCAAATAACTATCAGGTATATAAGTTTTCTCAATCTTCAGGACAGTCAAAAGGATAAGTTCAATATTTATTGCTAAAAGTAATAAATAGAAAAGGCTTTAAGGTCAATTATTTTATTTATTTTCGCTTTCAGTAGCACTTGAAAACTGCCTCAGTAGCTATAGAAAACTGCTCTCTGCTTTAAGGTACGGGCAATATTTTGGTCATTTGCAGGTTATTTTAATAACTGTGTGTTCTCTTTGTTCTCTAGAAGGTAATATAGTGGTCAGAGTTGGTTCCTGAAGTGTAACTGGAAGTGATACTCTGATAATCTGATAGGCCTGTCTGTACATCTTCACAGGAGCACATTTTGTATCCTATATTGTGTTTGGGTACTGCCTGTTGGCACAGAATGATGCTCCAGGCATTGTCATTTTCATTAATTTTAAGGTTAATGAATAAAAGAAAAATGGGAAAAGAAAGATTGGCACTGGCTCTGAGAGTGAGAGAAAGCAAAACCAATCTTGCATTACTGTTTTGGAACTAGGAACCAAAGAATCTTTCATGAGTGGCTTACCATAAAAATGTGAAAGATTGTTTCCTTATATGTTCTTGTGTTTTTTCTACTACTTCCATTTCAGTTAATTCTGTCATTTTTGTAATATAAGAAACCTTTTTCTTTTTTTTTTCTTTGTTTTTTTATCCAGAGATTATCCAGAGAATGAAAATATTAAAAACCTTCTTCAAGAGCAGTTAAATTCATTGTCCAAGTAAGAATTTTCCTATTATTACTTGAGTAATGTCCAGAATTCTGAAAAGGCAAAAAACCTGAAGTTTTTGGCAATTCACAGCTTTAAGGAGAAAGAATGCTTTTTGTCTCTCTAAAGATGAGCTTGAGTCATGACAAGTTTTTATTTTAAACAAAGTTAATTTTTATGTAACTCTTAAAATTGGTGCTTCAAAGATGCTGATTAGTGTCAATATATATTTGGAGCTGACCAGTGAGCATTTGGAATTTTTTAAGCAGTACTTCCCAGGCATGTGTGGTTCTTTGATGTTGGTCCAGGCACTGCTACTTAAATACTTCAGGGTTTGTTAGGATATTTAATTCTTCTCTGAGGAAGAAAAGACAAACAGTTCTAAAAATCCTTTATTGAAGATATATTTCAGAATAATATTCGTGCACATTGCTCTGCTTGCACAGCAAACAGATTTTGACATTCCATTTAAACCATGAAAACTGTAGTTAAAGCTTCCTTTAGTAGGACAGAAAAGGTAACAGCATATTTCTACCCAGTCTGAAACATATGTAGGAAACTTAAATTCATGCATGTGTATCCTTTATGAATTATTAGTAATTGAATTAATGCTGGAATTAGTAGAATTACTGCAGACTAATTTATAGCTTCATGTACATCCTTGTGCTGTTTCCCTTTATTGCAAGGACAGGGAGTTCCTCATGGACTCACTGGACTTTGCTCCTTGACATCAGTTATATCTCAAATTATATATAACTGTTTTCACAGATTTTAATTCAGAAAGGAAATTGAGGTTTGATTTTTTTTTCAGTTTGCGTGTGATATAACCTGTTAGTGTTGGAAACCAACCAGCCAGAAAAACTTGCACAGCATTTTATTGATTATTTGTGGCCTTCTCTTTTGCAGTGACATAAAGAAACTTCTGCTTGATCCAGATTTCACTCTCTTGCAAAGGTGTCTCCTGGTTGCCAGGTAGTAGAGATTCAGATAATTTTACCAAATGTTTTCTGGTTAAATCTTGATGCTCTTAATGCATATGAATGAGCTGAAGTTTAGGAACTCAACCAAATCTTAACTCCTAAACTTCTTTGTCACTCATGTATTAGAGTGTTTTTAGAACCAAGAATGGAGATTTTACCTTACTGAAACATAATTTTATTTGCTTAATGGATACAGAGAACTTCCCTCAGTCTTGGTGGTACTTTTAGAAATGCAGTTCTGCCAACTGTGTTACATTTACTTGTGCAAGGCCCAAAAATGTGAATCAGAACTTTCACAACAGATTATATGCAAACAGGGGTGGGCCTGATTTTTATTTCAAATGTGTTTGTTCCCTGTGGTTCTTCTGCCTAAACTGAACTAATTTTAGTCTGTCTGTATTGAAAGATGTTTTTCAAACTTAGTAACTTGTGGTTGAAAGAAGATACTAATGATTAAGTATAAAATAATAATAAATATCAATTTCCACTTATTTCTGTGCTGAACATTCCCTGAGCTTAATTGCTAATATAACTTTCCTTATTCTTCTCTTGTAGTTTGTCCCATTAATGCAAAGTACTTGTGATCTCCACAAGAATGCATTGATTTTGTAAAAAATTAAATGTGTCGTATTTTTATGTGACAGATAAAAAAAATACAAACTATTTGACATCCTGATTTGTGTCTTCTCAGGCTGTATGGGGATGAATCTGAACTGCATTTCTGGACTATTGCTGCCCACTATTTGCACAGCCTGTGCCAGGAAAAACCTGAGAAACCCAGAGACACAGTAGTCCCTCAGGAACAGCTGGTTAATCCTTTGGATATCTGCTATGATGTACTGTGTGAAAATTCCTACTTCCAGGTATTTCAAAAAGTCCAAAAACAAATTTAATAAGAATGTCATCAGCACAATAAACACTCAGTGTTGTAACCCTCTTATCCTAGAGCATTTTCTTGGACATATTTCACTTTTCTTAGTGACATACCACTCTGGATTAAATAATTCCCTGTTACTTAAAAACAGGTGATGTTACAAAAAGCTCTCAAAATACTTACATGTCTTTTAGATGCTTTTTTTATTTCTTACAGTAGACTTATATTTAAAATATTTTTTCCTCCTTCCTCCAGAAATTCCAGCTGGAAAGAGTAAATCTCCAAGAAGTGAAGAGATCAACGTATGATCATACCAGGAAATGTGCTGATCAACTTCTCCTCTTGGGCCAGGTTTGTGGGTAATATTTGAATTTTTTATTCTTCTTCTTCCCCTGTCTGTTTAAATGTTTCTCTTCCTTTTATAACTCTACAAAAGGAAATAAATGGCTATAAATAAAAATTAATTCCACATATTAATTTACATTATATTCATGATGGGTTTTAAGTGCTATCCTTACTTTGGATGCTTTATTGAAATTATTGCTACACCAGTAGATATTTTTATAGTGTGGTTTAGAATAACTTTCATTTGCTCCAATGTCTTAAAAAGGGTAAAAATTGAAAGACTTTTAAACAGAAGTGAATATGTTGTGGTCAAAGTTCTATTTTTTCTCTTGCCAGACTGACAGAGCAGTGCAACTGTTGTTAGAAACCAGTTCAGAGAATGCACATTATTACTGTGATTCACTCAAAGCTTGTTTGGTCACAACTGTCACCTCATCAGGTCCCTCTCAAAGCACCATTAAACTGGTAGCAACCAACATGATAGCCAATGGAAAGCTTGCAGGTAAAGTATCACTTTCTATTTGCTTATAAACTAGTAATTCTGATCATTATTAAGGTTGCCAATAGAAACAGGAGAGCAGAGAGTCCTGTTGTAGTAGATCTATATGCTGCATATATTACAGCTTGTGCTACCTTTTTTAGCTAACACAAGTTAACCCAAAAATAATCAGTGACTTCTAAAGTTCAACTGGTTTTGATTAATTTTCGTTGGAAAAGTTACTTCTGGAGTAAATCTTGTGGTAGTTGTTTGCAGAAAAGAGGCTGAGCACATCAAGGTATGTATTTTCCACTTTTCCAGTTAAAGAATTGATTAAAATTTGGTGTCCTGTTACAAAGATGAAATATGGCCTTGGTTTCCTTTTTAGTTCAGACCTTGTTTCAAAACATGTGTTTTCTTACAAGTACAGGTTAATTTTGCTTCATGCAAGAGCTGTTCACCATATAACAATTGACTGAAATGCTCAAAGATATGCAGAGAATGTACAAATGTCTGTACTTGCCTGGAAAAATACTTTCCACTCAGTAGACAACACTTCACTGTCAATACATTATGGACAACATTGTAAATTAAGTAAATACATTTAATGGCTAATCCTTTATTTTAATTTAAAGACCATTATCCCTTTATGAGAGATAATGTGAACCCCTTGTCATTTTTATTTAGAGCAAATACAAATGAGAGCTTTGTGTGGGAAAAGATCCAGTAGCTGACACCCAGAAATTAGGAGTTTTCAACATCTTTCTGTGCTGATAAGGAAACAGAGATGCTTTTTGGGGGGGGATGAATGACCTGATCCCACTTTTTTCCCCCCTAACTTACTCTGTGGAGTGGTTTTTTTTCTCCAGAGGGTGTCCAGCTGCTGTGTCTCATCGACAAGGCTGCTGATGCCTGTCGCTACCTGCAGACCTACGGCGAGTGGAATCGTGCAGCTTGGCTGGCAAAGGTGTGTCATTCCCCAGCTTCCAGTTTGCCAAACTACCTCCTCAGCATATGTATGAAGGCTGATGAGGGTGCTGAAGTGCTCCAGAGTTAAATAACTGAAAAGTTAAATCAGTTTGAAATATCATCATCAGTTCTTCCCATGTCTTAAGCTCCAACGAGCCAATCCATTCAATCAGCTTTGGCAGGTTCTTCAGCCTTTTAACTCCACAAAAAGGGCCTAAAAAGGGTTGGAATACTCAATTTTCTAATTTTTGAGCAGTGGTTTGTGAAGTTGCACATAGCTGCAGCAGTACAGAGTTTGTAATGATCTACAAATCCACCTCTGGAAGTCAGTAAGCAACGAGGCAGTGGATTTGTGCTGAGCTCCGTGTGATGTGTGCTCAGTTCAAACTTAGCACCACTCATAAATTTGCATCACCACCTGTTTTGGTTTGCAGATATAATTACAGTAAGACTACCCAGACACAGCATTACCTCCCCACGTTATAATTGGCAGGAGTCAGTAAGGATTTTTCATTGTCTCTGATGAAGTTTCTGTTATGTTTCCTGAAGAAAGCATGGCAAATTTGTACTTAGATTTTCTAAATGAGTGAATCCTGCTTTTAAGAAAAATTAAGGTGTTTTGTCCTTAAGTCTTCAGTAAGGGGTGAAGATTTCTAACTTCTTCATACTTGGGACTTTTAAAAACTTGGGGTAAAAATAACGTTAATCACATGTAAAAATTCAGTGACCCGAGGGGAGTACTTTTATACCTAGATATTTCTCAACTTCCTTTATGTTGTATTAATTCAAGGGATAGGTGTACTTTTTATTAATAACTGATAGTTTCAGCAGCTTTTCCTTCTGACACCTTGGCTTTCCCACCTCCCCAAGGTCCGTTTGAACTCGGAGGAATGTGCTGACGTGCTGAAGCGGTGGGTGGATCACCTTTGCTCTCCACAAGTCAACCAGAAGTCCAAGGCCATTCTTGTCCTCCTGTCTCTTGGATGCTTTACAAGAGTGGCAGAGATGTTGCACAGGTAAAGATGGAACAGCACAACCTGTGTTTAATTTTGTCCAAAATCAGACAAGATGTAGTGACTCAGATGTCAAGGGGGGCTCTGCAGTTCCTGATGTTTGTTTCTCCTTTAGCATGTTTTTCTGGAATTAACTTCAACCTCAGCATTGCATCATTTCTGTGGGCTGCAACTGATACATTTTTAAATTTACTGCAGGCTTTAAGATTGCAAGCACCCACTGACCATGCAGCAATGATTTGTAGTAACTGTGATTTTTTTCTGAGTAATTTGAGCCTTGATCTTTCAAACTGCATCAAATGCGAGTTACTTGAGTGCAAGGGAAGATGTGAGAAAGTTTTAGAAAACCTCTGTGCAAGTGTTTTGGTGCAATGTCCTGGTTTGTATCCTAACAAATGATTCTCTCTTTTTTTTCCCATTTCTCAGCATGAGGTACTTTGATAGAGCAGCTTTATTTGTAGAAGCTTGTCTGAAGTACGGGGCATTTGAAGTTAATGATGATACAAATATCCTTTTCTTTGAAATCCTGTTTGCATCTGTGTGGTCATACACAGTGAGTATGTGTGAGCCAGTGTTAGATGAACTAGTCTGCACAGAAATAGGAGTTCCAGCTTTTATTTTCCAGGTTGTGCAACTTGAGGGAAGTATAAAGAAACAAGTGAAAAGGTGCAATTTCCATTATTACCTTGTCCTGATGGCCTGTGAGGTCTGGAATACAAACTAAAACTGAAAAAAATACAGTGATAGGAGAGAAAAGAGGGGATGATAAAATGCTCTTGGAAATAATTGCTGCAGCCTGTGTAGTGCAATCAGTGGTTCAGTTACCTTTTAAACATTTTATATCAGGGGAAAAAACCCCAACCTTTATTGAACCCCTTTGTAGACCATCATATTGTTTCAGTGGTTGATGAAAGGAGTCAGTTCTGAGACAGTGCAAACAAAGAAATTAAAGGTCACTATCAGTGAACTGAAAATGCAGTAAGTATCATAAAAGGTGTCTGAAGAATTGCTCAGTAAAATCTGCACATCTGACCTGGTGTTCTGGAAACACTGAGCAGTGTCTGAAATGTTTGTACTGTATGCAATAAATAATAATGCATAATAATATTACATATGTAAGTCATACCTGATCCTGGTTTGTGGAGTCATCACTGATGTCAGCTTGTAAATAGAAAAAGACACTAATAAGTCATGTAGATAACTCAGAGTCTAATTAACAAACAAATCCTATAATGTGACCTTAATTTATTTTTTAATTTCTACTCCAAGTTACACCATTGTGTCATGGTAGGTATTTATGCATATCTGAAATATATCTGTTGTAGTTTATATGACTCTACACATTGCTTGATATTCATTCAACAGTAGGATTTAAAGCAACTTTGTTCTCTTTATTTGTGCTGAAAAGTATTGGATTAACACAACTGACAGCCATTTCACACTGGGAGGGCAAAGGAGTAAGAAGGAAAAAAAAGGATTCTGAGTTTTTTCATTGTGCTGTTAATTTGTGTTTTCCTTAATGCTTCATTTACATAAGTTGATCCATGCTGTGTATGCAGATTATGCCAGAAGCTTGAAGATGCTGGGCTTCAAACAGGGAGCTGTTCTCTTTGCCTCCAAAGCAGGAGAAGCTGGGAAAGAGTTACTGACTGAACTCAAACAGCCCAAGGAGGAAGTGACTCAGGAGTAAGAATTTCATGTTTGTCAGCTGATCTGGCTTGTCAGACTGAGATTCCACTGTGTGAAAATACATCTTTCTCTTGGATCACTCTAATAGCTGATTTGTGTGATTTGAGCCCATACTGTTAAATGTGTTTGAAGTCAGAATTAAGAACTGTGGCGTTGTTTCTTTTTGGTAAAATTGTCTCCACTTTCACAAGAGGGGAAAGAAGCCTGTGATAAAATTATACAAGAATATTTCAACTTCTTCAACTGTAGCAGGAATGAGATTTTAAAGTGTGCTGAAAGTGTTGCATACCTGTGTAAAAGTCCAGTCCATTTACTTCTAAAAATCAAACCTTTATAGGACTTCAGTACTGTTGTATTTATATGTATAAATGATTGAGCCTGTACTATAAAATTATAAATATATTTAAAAATAAACACAGATCACAAAGCACATGGTTCTTCCCTGGAACATTGTGTTTTCTCAGTCCAGTTTTTCAGTTTAAAATTCCTGTTATTTCAGATCAGTTCACTGTACTGTCATTTCATAACTGTCTGGAATGGAATCTGTAACAGGTTCACTTACCAATGTTACTCTCCTGACATTCCAAAAATCCATGAGATGTCCTTTTTTTTCAATTAAGGTGTTGTTCTGTTCCATGTTAGTGTTAAGTGTGCACTCCCTGCACAGCTTGGGAACTAAATTCTGCCTTGTGTTGCCTGGGTCATGGGATCAAAGGCTGGGAGAAGTATCCCAGGAGCAGCAGGGTGGGCTCCTGCAGGACAGGCAGGACACTGCTGGTGCTGCCCCAGTCACTGTTTTGTTTGTTATTTGAATGTGTGATTAACAATATGATCCAAAAAGCCAAAATTCTGGCTTTTTCATTAGATCCTTCTAACCCTAACACATCTGATGATCCAGATACTCGAGGATGCCACCAAAATCATATCCTCCCATTTGTCTGCCAGCGTTTCAGTATTTAAGTATTTGTTTGCATTATTGTTTCTTGTGTCAGATGTATCTTTTCTGTGTGTTACTGGTGAGGAATTTTACAGCTGGGGAGCTGTAAAAGTGACATTGCCCTTGCAAATTGAAGACTGTGGCGTGGGAAAAATAGTCTGGGCTAAAAAATTAAGTTCTTCCTTTTCCCACCTTTTTGGAGCTACTGAAGTTTAATATGTTGTAGTGAAAAGAATCATGTAAAATGTCTCTCGTTTGAATGTAATTGGTGGCTTATCTACTTATCTAATCCAATCTACACTGGATTCTCCTTATGTTTGAGTATTGTGGATATGTGTTCTACATTCCTTCCTGGAGGAGCATCAGCTTTGGGACATCTCTAACTGCACAAACTTTTTGGTTCAAATCTAAAATAACGTTTCCAATAAAACTGGAAAAGTTGGACTTGTCAATAATCTTGTGGAATATAAATTGAAAACGTGAGTTTCATCACTCTGAGTAGAAAAGTGAGAGTTATAATTGCAATGTATCTTCTTTTTTCCTGCCACATCTTACATAGATCATAAAATACTTTGTTCAGTGTATGGTGAACTGTGTTCTAGTTACTGTAGCTTGGGAAAATAAGTACACAAGAAAATTTGCCTTAAGTATTAACTGGTGAGAAACAGAATTAAGTAAAATTTGACTGTCATTACCAGTGGCCTAAATTCTGTCTCACATTGACCACTCCAACACTCCTCAATCTCTGCTCTTATTTTTCCCAGCAGTGCTCGTGGATGGGGTTACTCCAGAGTTACTGTGAGCACACACAGGCTTGTTCTGTGACAGATCAAGTTCAGTTGTTTGTCAGTGAGTCTCTGGAATAAATCTGCTTTAATATACAGTTGGATTTGTAACTGATGTTTTTAAGGAAACACATTTCAAAGGCCTTTTAATACTGAATGTTTCTATAAAGTGTGCAGGCTGCAGAATACTGTGTGACATCCCCTTGATGATGAAAATGGAGTGTAAAAGTGAAAAGTTTATTTAGATAATGTTGCAGTCTCACTACAATAATAAAAAGATTTTTAAAATATCTGTGTGTCTTGATTTAATACAACACCATCATCTGCTGCCCTGGGATTGAATGTTGATTGTGTAACCATTGTCATTGTGCTTTCAGGACAGGAACAATGCTCAGGGCTGGGTTTAACAGGGGAAGTGATTATCCTTTGTGCAACTGAGTCACATTTTCCATATTAGTACTAATGAAACATTGTGTTTGTGTAGTATTAATTCCCAAGCTTTACTAGCAAACATAAAATTTGTGTGGGTTAAATTAGAGCAGGACATGGGCTGCACATCCTGATTTTTGAAAAGCACGGAAATAAGTGATGAAAGAAAATCCCTCCCTTTCTGTTTTTATGCTGCCCCATAAACAGTCTTAGAAAGGAAGGCAAGTTGAGGTTTTCTTTCAGTCTTGAAAATCTTAGATGAGTGATTATGATTATGTGATATTAGGTTTATTTCCATGCTATTTGTTGAAATTGTCGGGCCCCTTTCATAGGTTAAAATTCCCCTTCCACTTTTCTGTTTTCTCCTCCTTCCCTGTGAATGCACCAGCAGAATGTGAGATCCAGGATGATGGGAGAGGAGCAACTCCTGAGCAGGGAAACCCAGGGTTATCTGTCAGACAAACTCAGCAGGTGGTAAAGGCAAGGTTGTCAAATACTTCTTTATTGGCCCAACTTAATGGTTTTCTTTTTGAGAATCACATCCCCAAGTTGAAAATACCTTTTTTTCCCATGTCATTGTCACTGCTACTTCATTTAGCAAATGCTCCTGCAGGGTCAGTGCAGTTCCCACTGACAAACTCCCTTTCAGTGGCTGCTTTCCAGAGGGTTATGGAGTGATAATATTCTGCATTGTTCAAACCAGATGCCAACAGGTGTTTTTTTAAAAAAAAGGCAGTGTTATTACTTTTCACCCCAGTGTGGCAGGAGATTAATAGAGTTATATTGCACTTGCCTGGCTCCTATTTCACTTGCTGTAACTAATAAAAACCTATAGGCAACAAATCTCAGTTGCAAGAAGAAGAAGGTCATCTTTGTGCTTTTTTTTTTGTGAGTGGTCACTTTTTTCAAACACTTGTTTTGTATTATGGCCCTCATAAGTCAGTCTTTTTTTTACTCTGAGCCTGCTTTTTGAATCCAACCACAGATTCACAAATAATAGTGTATTTAGGTGACCCTTTAAAAATTATCACAGGGTCTGTATCCCATCTGGAATTTACTATGCAGTTCTTTTCTATTGCTTCAGCTCTAGCATTTTCTTGTGTTAGGGAAAATTAGCAAGATTGCTGCTGCAGGTGTCGTTTTCCAAGACCAGCTTTTGAATCGTATCTTCTTGTCTCCTAAATGAACTTTTTCCTGATGTTTGGTAACCAGCTCCTTTTCTTTTTGCAGAATAGAATTGCCTTGGGAGCAAAAGAACATGTGTTAAAGCAATGGACCCAATGTTTGGAGAACAACTGGGGATCCTTGGGGTGGAAAATATGGTGGTAATAATAATAATAATAATAATAATAATAACTGTCCTCTTTAATAGAATTTCATTTGCCTTAGAAAGTCCTTGCAAAGTAGCTATTCCAAATGAATTTCTGGGGGATAAGAGCATCCTGGGCACTACTATACAGCCATTAATACAGCAGTTTGGATTCTTGTTGCACAAGAATTCCACTTCTTTTCCTGCCAGATAAAGTGTCTTTATCTAAACCAGAGAATTATGAGTGTCGAAAGCCATATGAACATAAACTGATATTTTAAGAATAATTTGATCTTTCTTCATAATCAGAAGGACTTCTGAGTTATTTTTGGCCTGTGTTGACTTGAGAACAAAATCAGGAAGCCTTTTCTTGGCCTCTCAGGAGGACCAGGCAGGGATTTTCTAATTAAAGAGGTCCTGGCTGGAGAGGTTTGTGGCTGGAGAGAGGAGACTTGGCTGGACTGCCCTGGCTGGAAGGGTTTCCACCTGCAGCCAAAGCCACGTGCTGAAGGAAGGTTTCTCTGAGCATCCACATCTCTGCTGAGCCAAGATCACCCCTGTCATTACTCTGCAGCTTCTTCTGAACAAGTTAAGGTAAGCTAGTTCTCCTCTCAGATATCAGTAGTATTAATTATTTTTTACCTTTGACTAATAGGAGAATTCCCCCAAATGCCTTTTCTGCTCTTAATTCTTCAAATTACCTGGCACATTTTTGCAGCTTTTTGGCTGTCCCTGACGTCTTTTTTTGAATAAGGGAGTGTGTGCTGTCCATCTCTCAGCTAGGACCTCTGTAGTTGCACAGGCCCAGGGCTCCTCCAGCCCCTCTGGAGCTTGATCCATGTGGGATGTGCTCTCCTGCCCTTCTTCACCTCCCTCACACCCACCCTGCTCTCCAACATCCCCACTCACGTGGTGCTGGTGCTTGTGTGGCAGAGTCAGCAGCAGCAGGAAATCATTAAAAGGGAAAAGACAATCCCAAAACACACACAAATACAAAACCAAACCAAAATCCAACCTAACCAACCAAACAACAACAATAACAAAAATACCCTATGTGCAAATTGCAAATATCTGAGTCTTTTCTATCCTGCCACATTCTAGTTCAGTAATTTCTTGCCCCTGAAATTTTAACTGGTACCTCCAGTCATGGCAATACTGTATATTGATATCTTCTTGCTTGCATGCCATCCTTCCCTGGCACAACTGATTGGTTTGGAGTACTTGTTTGCTTGTTTCTTAGTTCCTGACAGACCAGAAATTCTATTTCCACAGTCTGAGAGGATTGATTTGCAAATTATCAACGTCGTTTTTTGCTTTTTCTCTGTTGCACAACTAAATACTGCAAAATACTATACAAATAACACCTGCAAAATACTATACAAATAATGCTGGCAAAATACTATACAAACCAGCTCTATTTGTGAAAAGAAGGCAGGCACAACCATTTCTCCAAACTGGAACAAAGTGGAGTATTTTCTTTCTCCCTTACCTCTAGAAAAATAGTTCTTAAATACTTATCAAGCCACGGAGACTTTTCTTTCTGACTGTTTCTTCCAGTTCTACTCTGTGGTTTACCTCAGCATCTGCTTTCTTTTTCCACTGCAAAGCTAAGGCTGGCTTTGATTAAAAGCCAGCTGAAAGGCAGATTAATTCATTGCAAGGAAAAGCAGCCTTGCTAATAGGAAAAGAGAGCAGGAAGGTAATTTGTCAGAGATCGCCTGGTCCTGAATGTGATGTTTTCTGGTAGCAGCTTTTTCTCCCTGTAGGACTAAGCCAACGTGTGGGGAGTTTATTATTATTCTGTGCCACAACCATCTCATCAAAAAGCCAAGACACATTCTTTGAACTGAGCTGAAATCCTTTCTGACTGCTTTGCAGGCAAATTCCTCAGCCACGAGAGTGTTTGCAAAGTATGTTTTTCTCTTTCCCGTTCCACTACATTTTCACGTTTGATGGACTTTTGAAGTGTTTGTGTTTCTGTGAAATTCCAGTGCTTTGTGGTGATATCTGATGTGACTTCAGGAACACAAGTCCTGTGAGGAGCAGCTGAGGGAGCTGAGGTTTTTCTGTCTGGAGAAAAGAAGGCTCAGGTGAGACCTTGTGACCCCCTGCAACTCCCTGAGAGGGGGTTGTGGCCAGGTGGGGTTTGAGCTCTTCTCCCAGGTGACAAGTGGTAGGACAAGGGAAAACAGCCTCAAGTTGCACCAGGGAAGGTTCAGGTTGGATAGCAGGAAAAATTTGTTCACTAGAAGAGTCTCCTCAGTGAAGTAGTGGAGTCACCATCCCTGGAAGGCTTCAAAAAACAAGTGGATGTGGCACTTCACAATATGGTTTTGTGGGCATGGTGGTATCAGGTCGAAGGGTGGACTTGATCTTGGAGGTCTTTTCTCAACCTTAATGATTCTACAATTATTTAATTTATTACCATTATTATTATTGTTGATATAAATATTGTTGTTAACGTTATTTGTTTATCATTATTTCCCCCTTACTGCCCTCAGTAATCTGTCACGAGCAGCTTCCCTCCACAGCTTCAGTTTTCCCTTATCCTAAGACTCCTTCCCCATCCCCTCTGGCTTTAAACTCACCCTTAACAGCCCTAATAACGTATTATTCCATTAAAATCCTAGAAGGAGAGTTTCCAGCTCCTGCAGGAGAGGGCAGCAGAGATCAGCAAATGGAGAGGTTTGGGGCAGCCACTTGCACAGGGAAACAAACTGAACCAAAGGCTCGAGTTTTTCCTTTCCTTCTGTTCAGTCCTTAAGGAGTGGAAGCTTCCAGGCACTAACCAAGCAGAAACAAGCAGATATAGATTTTAGTGGCAGCTTTAAATAGCTGCAGACTGTTGGGAAAGGAAAGAAGGGCGTTGAGGTTGTCCAGTTTTCTTATAAGTAGGAGTTCAGGTCATTATTAAACAAAAACACTTGAAATCTGTTCTGATTTAGCAAGTAAGAAATGCTTGAAAATGCATTAATAAGTATGATTTAAAACATTATTTTGCATCTAATGCCTGAAGGGTAGGGTTTGCTTTTTTTTTGCTTGGTGGCTTGTTGTGGTCTTGTTCAGTTTATTTTTATGCTGAAGGATTTCCTCTCAATTATTTACAGTAAAGGGGAGATTTTCTTCCTAGAAAGCACTGAGAGAAGATTTAATGCACACACAGAAATTTCAAAGTGTGTCCTATGTTCAAGCAGCAGAAGTGAACTGTTCTTGCAGTTACTTGGAGGATCAGAGGATGGTTGTGCCAATAATCCCCAGTAACTTCCTGGCAGCTTTTCAGTGATCACAGGACCTTGTTCTTCGTGTTTATGTGTAGGAAGAAGAAATGAGCAGAGAAAATTTATGACAGGAAAAGATCTCTCTGATGGTTTTCGAAGACATCCCTCAGCACTTGCTGGTATGGCTGTTCCTGGTGAGCAGCAAATTGTTTGTGAATTTTAGTATGATTTTAGCATATTTAAGTAAACTAAAAAGCACTGGGAGCACAATTGGCCAGAGGCACTGGTGTTGGGACAACAGATATGCTGGAATAATCTTTTATTATTGTTAT